AAGCAGTGCTGCAGGTCAGATGTGGACTATTTGATGTGACATTTTGTAGCTTTGTAGCATCTGATTCAAAGGATTGTGTGTGACCAGTGATGCCCATTCCTCTTTTATTCTCCTTTTATTATTGCCTTCTCTCTAAATCAGTTGAGCTTGCCTCATTGTGTTGCATTTTGATGCAATATAACACTGGAACATAAAGCATTCTTAAAGAAAAGTCTGTGTTTATTTGTTGCATAAAGGATTACACCATTTACTTTGCATTACACTCTTGTAAAATAACCCTTCTACAAGCAGTAAAAAAAAAAGTGCCGGTAAGTACAGCCTCTGTCAATACCCTTGATAGAAAAGGAGCTTTACAACGCACACACTCCATTGTTATGGAACTGCCTTTCCACTCATCTCTGAACAAACCGATCCACACCAAGGACAGAGGTGGTCCAACGTTCCTCAAATATTTGCTGTAATGTCTGATTTTTCAGTTTGGCTCCTCCCTGTGGCCAAGTCTGTGTAGTTTACTCGACAAGCTCCTCAGTGTCCCTCCATGACTTGTTTCGAAGAAAAACCCTGAGCTACTCAATAACTAATACCAGAGTAGAACCAGAGGCAAACATGTGCTGCTTTTCTCAGGTTTACATTAGTTAAAACTCAATGTATTTGCTGGACTGTTGGAACAAAGACGGAAAAGAAGAAAATGTGATGGATATTTTCACTACTTTCTGACACGTTACAGACCAATAACTAATATGTTAATTATAAAAAACGAGCAGAAAAACACATGTACCTGTTTGATGCATGACTTATGTATTCCTTTACACATTGCACAATGTCTGTCGATACTAACACAAAAACATTGGCTACAACTTCTTGGGAACTTTTTAAAATATTGATTTCTTGATATAAACTTTCTTTCTCTGCCGGATATCTAGATGTCCCCTCTGCCAACCTGACAGTCCTGAAAACCTTTGTTTCTGTGGGTATGACCTTGGGTGTGCTCAGTGCTACAGTTGTAACCACACCTTTATCTTGTAGTAAGAGTTTACTGTAGAAATACACCAAGATCATCCTCTATGTTCAATATATCAAATTGGTTCTTTTTATTTACCTGAAGCAGGGAGGCTACCTCTTGAGAGGACAGATCACTTCTGCAGATTTTGTGACCTTTTCTTCTCCCGAGTCTTTAGGTTTTGTGTTTCCGTGATTCCCAGAGAGCATTCATGTGTATCTTTATGAAAATTCTGTTTACATACTGCTTTCACATGAGGATATCTCCATCTCCCTAAAACTGAGTATTAACAATATACATGTAGCAAGCTGACATAAATGAATAGTATATTTATATATAGAATAGTACCTATTATGTGGATGGATGGAGGGATTGTTGATGGATCAATGCATGCATGGAGGGAGAATGGGATGAATGGAAGGATGGATGGATGGATTGACGGAACGATTGATTGATGGATCATTAATGTTACAACTTTTTTCAAATCAGAGATGAAGATGAGTCAGTCAATAACATTTGGAAACTGTAACTTGGGTTGAAATTTCACCGTCAGTCACTGCAAACTCAGAAGAGTCAGAAGAACCACCTTGAGGGCATTTAAGTCCAGTCTCTCTTCTTGTATCCTTTACAGGGATCCGCTTTTCCGCTCACAAACCCAAAAGGTACAGGATCATTTTGTTGCCTTTTTTTCCCGGCAGAAATTGTGTTGTTTTTTGTTTTTTTTGCCTTGCTATTTTATCTCTTCTGTCTCTGTTACCCGTCTGCCACCTGTCTTTTTGTCTCTTGTTTCAACAGTGAGGTCATCAACAAACCCTTTACCCATTACCCAGCCTATCAGACATCAGCTTGCGCTCTCAAAAGCCACAAATAATCCACATAGTCTCTGTGATTCTTTTCCAAATCATGGCCCCATACACACACACACACACCCACACGCCCACATTTTATTCCAAGTAACCTGTCTGTCACCCGATAGGACTCTTTATATAAAGCTCTTAGCCCCCATAGCTGATACTACTCTTTCTTCATCAGTGAACATCCCTCTCTGTAGCTGTTCAGGTATGTGATCTGACTTTCTTGTGCTTTATTATAGGTGCAGTGATATTACAAATGTGTAACAACCTAGACGCAAGCTCTAAGGGCATTCCTGTCATTTTGATATCAGGAACAATCAGTAATTCTGTTATTGGTATCGTTTTCAACAATTTTTAGTAAATATGTGCTCCACTTAGTTTGATCAAATAGTTCAGTTTGTCAACTGTGAACTTTTAAACGACATCATTCTTAAATGAAATTGTCTTTTATGTGAAATCACTTATCTAGAGCATATATTCTGTTCTTTATAACACAGGACCAAAAAAAACTGAGTAATATGAAAAATTGCATGAAGAAAGTTATCACCAAATCAACAGTTTCTCTTTAGCCAAACAAGGTTGTTGTTGTTGTTTGCAACTTTAATGCTTTAATTTACTCCAACTTGTCAACCAGCAGGGCACTTAAAAAAACAAGAAGAAGTAATAAAGCCCTCTGAATAGCCAGTAAATGCTACTTCTTATTGAAGCATTTAGCAACGGCTGAACAACGGCTCTCAGAGATTTGGTAGAGACCAAAAACAGAGCTAAAAGAAGAGTGCATATTGGACTTAGATTAGTCTGGTGGCCAGACACATATGCATCATTACAATGCTAGTGTTTGCTGGATATCAAAATGTAAGCTGGACTGCTAACATGTCAGTGTTGTGTTTGCTGCCCTCAAGTGGCCAATGACGTCTGTTCTTTCAACACTCAGAAACCAACGATTCAACTACTGATAACTTTAACAATGCTTTAAAACATTAACTAACCTAAATTTTGCGTGGTCATTATATTCATCTTTAAGTCAGAAAGAATGTAGTCTATCCCTGATACAAAATATTCAGTATTTACTTAATACATTTAGTTAAATACATCATGTCCACACACCATAATGTCCCGGAATTGAAGGGGCATTTTAGGTCTACAGTATCTAATCTCTTTGGAAAGTTCCAGATTTCCACAACATTTCAGTAAAGCGTGCTGCTCTTCTCTTGATCAACGCATATTGAAATCAAGAATGCCCAAATGTGACAAGTTATTTTGGTGACTTTGGCCTCTCAGTCTGTGACGCGGTTGCTCAGTTTGGTCAAAAACATTCAACAGTGAAGCGAAGTTATAAATTCCACCCCCAATCCCTCATCTGATTTTTGTCCCTGTGCCCGTGTTTACTCAGACCCACATGCTCAAGCTTTGAGAGCTTAGCTGAAAGATAACTTTGAAGGGATCTGAGAGACTCTGTGGGCCTCAGTGCTTGATCTATAATGCTAATAGACTCAAAGAGAAGCATCAAGATGTGAACGGAAATAGTTTGCTGAAATGTGTTAACCTGTTTGCCCAGAGATTGATTTCTCTGTTTCTGATATTTACTAATCAGACGTGTGTTTGTTTGAATTTGCACTCTGTAAAATTATAATTCTATACTTCCCGTGACAAGTCACATTAAAATATGCAGATACACTGGGGCTCCACACATTGAAATGTCCCTTCAGTTCAGGGAAAACACAAGTAGATCAAATGATAATAGAGGACATGGCTGGTGTTAATAGCATCCAGACAACCAGCTTTCTCCATCCCACATTCTCTCCGGTTAATCAAATTAAACATGAAGGATTGGCCAGCTGATAGCGCACTGCTAACCCCGGTAACAGGACACTGCTCCGGCCCAAAGTCCCTCTGGCCTCATCTATTCCTAGATCATTAGCAACAAATGGCCTTCCCCTTGATCTTACTCTTTGAACAAAAGCGCTCACCTCCGATGAACCTTCAATGCTTCTCCAGTGGTATGCATGAAAAAAATGTGTATTTTTTCCTATAAGGAAAGAAGTTATTTGTCATACATAACCCATCTGGAGTAGCCAAATATCAATTCATTAGAAGGTCTAGTACTAAAACTATATAAATGATCAAATGTTCATAGAGTTTAGTGAGCATGCTACATTTATATTTATTTTAAGACTGCAAGTTTTGTTCAACAGTAACCCTGGTGGTTACTAGTGGAAACTACAGATTACAGCACATTTTTGAGTCAGCTGCTTTAAAGTTATTATAAGACATCCTGACTGAGAAATGTTTTTTGTATATTGTTGAAAGAACACAGAAGAGCTGCTGTTTAATGCAAATAGATCAAGGAAAAAACACATTAGCCAACATGGGCTACTGGTCAAAACAGACCTGTCCCTATAAGCAAAGTTACTCAGTTTTTGATTGGTGAGATGTTACCACCTGTTTTGAATTACATTTTTGTTTTCATTTTGAAAAATGTAATTGTTAAATCATTACACAGTCCAGCTTTGAGGTAATAAATATGCTCTCAGTGAGTTTAGTGCTAAATCCAGACACTTGCAAAACTTAGTTATGTAAGTTTGAAGAATGTAACATTGCAGGTATTTCTATTGGTGTGTTTCCCTCCAGTGTCACCATGTCTGACTCAGAAGAACATGGGTGAGTTCATCTACATCTAATGGTTAACTTCTTAACTTTTCACCATTTATGAGCTCCTGTTTAATGACACTTCATATGTTTCCTGTGAATTCTCTTTTTGTTTGTTTAGCAGTCATCCGGAGGGTAAGGACATTCATTCAGTTATTCAATCAATCAGAAATTTCATCAATTCTTCAAACTCAATCGTTGTCCCTATTTTACCCTAGAAGAGGATGAGGAGCAGGGAGAAGGAGGTGAGTTTCTGCCGCTGAACTGGATTATTTCATCAACCTTTAAAAAAAAAAAAATATATATATATATATATATATATACATGTATATATAAAACATTCAAATACACACTATAAAACCAACCTGAGAGTTTGCCACACAGAATCTTTATAATGCAAACACTGATTTACATATTGTAATCCAAACTGTGTTTACTTAAAAGTTTCAGCTATTATTTTAGATCACCAAGATAGTAAAACATCAAAATTTAAATTCACACCAAACAGGAAACTGTTAACCTTATACTGCCCAGCTGGTTTATTATCATCATACAAGCACAGTTTAGCATTTGTATGGACATACACAAGTGATGGCTACGGACTGTGGTCATAAACTCTGGGTTATCTTGTGTATTCCAGCTTCATGTAAATTTGCTATATGGTGGCTTTAACTGTTGTGTTTTTAAATATAACCTTTATGTCACCCACCAACTCTTCACTTTGCTGCTGTGTTGGCTGTCACGTTGAAGAAGAACGCCCCAAATACAAGTAAGACTACACAAGAATACAAAAAAAACACCATTTTGTTAAATTTTACAAGTAAATGAAAGACTTTACGATAATCCGATCAATCAAAAACTACAAATAAAGCTCACTCCATTTTGAAATTCCTTCATGTTTTTTAAACAGGCCTTTGGTCACACAGCTTGCAGCCCCTAAAATCCCCGAGGGGGAGAGGGTGGACTTTGATGTATGTACCTTAAGGGTTGTTGTCAATGGAAGAATCATACAAAACAACACTTAAAATAGCATCAAATAATCTTGATCTTTGTATCTGCTCCCTGTCAGGATATCCACAGGAAACGGATGGAGAAAGATCTTCTGGAGCTTCAGACTTTGATCGATGTCCACTTTGAGCAGAGGAAGAAAGAGGAGGAGGAGTTGATAGGACTCAAAGACAGGATCGTAAAGCCCTTTTTCTACTTCTTCTCCAGTTTTTGTCCATGTATATTAGTGTGTAAGAGAGATACATGTGTAAAATAAAAGTGATGCTATAGCAGTGATAAAATGCCAGCCTGCATGTTTTTTCTTTTGCAGGAGAGTCGCCGGGCAGAACGAGCAGAGCAGCAGCGTGTGAGGGCTGAAAAAGAGCGATGCAGACAGACGAGGATTGCGGTAATTAATATTTATATGTTGTTATAAGTCATATGTTGTAATCCCACATACACTCAGATTATGATATTGTGGCCTCGTAAAAGAGCAATTGAAGTAAAAATAAATTGCACTAATGAACTGACGTTGATTTGTTCAGGAGGAGAGACAGAGGAAAGAAGACGAAGAGGCCAAGAAGAGAGCCGATGATGAGGCCAAGAAGAAGAAAGTTCTCTCCAACATGGGGGCTCACTTTGGAGGGTTCCTGGCCAAGGTCAGAGAATAACATTTGTAGGCTTTTTTGTGTGTGTACGCAGCTGGAATGGAGAGAGAACTCTGATATTCACACAATATAATGAGTCCATTTCCTCTGAGAAAGTGGGTTGTGTTCTTCCTGCAGGTTGAGCAGAGGCGAGGCAAAAAACAAACTGCGCGGGAAATCAAGAAGAAGACTTTGGCAGAGAGACGCAAGCCGCTGGCTATTGAGAACCTGCGAGAAGACGGCCTGAGGTCAGTTTAAGGTCATGTAAGGAACCAGCAGATTGCTCGTGCTGCAAATAAAAGTTCTGAGTGAGTTTATTTCTGTGTTAAGTTGCTACTTTTGTTGTGCTTTAGAGAGAGAGCCAAGGAGATGTGGGAATGTATCTACCAGCTGGAGTCAGATAAATTTGACCTGACTGAGAAGATGAGGAGGCAGAAGTATGAGGTGAGTCATTCAGCTTGTTAAATACAGAAGATGTGTTTCAAATAATGGCTAATTGACAACGTCAGATTTTGTTTATTTTTCAGATCAATGTCCTTCTGAACAGAATTCAACATGCTCAGAAATTGTGAGTCAATCTGCTTGTCTGAATCCAACATGACACAACTCCTACGCCAACAGGAAAGAGAAAAGTGGAGCATTGTAGGGAGCTGCTTTGCATCCTCTACGCAAACATAACACAGATGGACGACATGCAGAAACACAGGAAATATCAAACGAAAAGCTCTTAATCATTTACACTTTAGGTAGGAGATGCAAATATCTAAAATGTGAAAATAGAGTGATAGGTGAGAAAGGGAAGTAAGAGAAGCTGCTACCTTTCTTGACAACTCAGTTATGCTTGTTGTTTGGTGTGACGGTTCATAATCTACTTTTGTTTTGTTTCAATGCAGCAAAAAGGTCCACGGGAAAGGCAAGGTTGGAGGACGCTGGAAGTGAACTCACAAAGGAAGAAGATGGCTCACTAGTTTCAGTCGAAGATTGCAGTGTTCATCCATTGAGTTTAAAGAGATATAACAGATGTTTGTGTTGGATTTATTGAAATACAACTACTTGCAATTGAAACTGATATTAATAAAAGGCATGTGTACATAAACTTGAAATGTTCTATCAGTGACATTTAGTTTGGTAATAGAAAAATTCCTGGAAACTCAAAGATGAAAGAAATTATAGCCAATACAGAAGACAATCAAATTTCTTGGAGGATTAACTTCCTTTTAAAGGAAACTTTGGATGAAAATAAATCACCTTTACTTCCTCTGTGGCATAAAAACAGCATGAACGTCGTCACTCTTCCCCCCCTGCCAAGGCTCAAATTCAGCCTCGTGAGCGATGCTCGTCACTTTCTCTGCAAAGCCTGCCTCCTGCTCTTTGTTCAGGTCCAGAATGTTCCTGAGATGCAAAATTACACACAAATACAACTTCAATACAAAAAACTGTAACTACAGATAAAATCAACTCCTAGTCATTAGTCATTGATTTAAAATATGGAAAATCTAGCAAACACACAATAAAATCAGATGCACAAAAGCAAATAAATTACACCGCATAGTCACAGCACTCTTAGTCACTGTACTGTCACTATGGTTACAAGCCCTGTTAGTATAAAAACCCTCACTTGGCCAGCTCCACGACAAGCACAGCGTCTGGTGCTGCAATCTGTCTCGTCATTGGGCCCAACTGGTAGACACAGCTTTACATCATTTACGTAGAGGGAAACAAAAACACAGAAGTGAAACATAATCACATCAGCAGTCTGTATTCTTGGTTGAGTTATCATATCTAGGAAGGAAACATATTTCATTCGGTATGATTGTCTTTGTAATCAAACAAAACAACACACTCACCTGGCAGAGAAGTAGATGATGTTGAAGAAATTTGAATATTTTTGTTTTTGGGGCAGTTTATGAAGTGAATCCATTGGCAGGAAAGTCACAGAGATCCCATTCAGAAGCATCAAGTCTGAAGAAGATTGCAGAACATTAATCATCTTTTAACATGTGCATGAAAACACAGCAAAACAACAACTTATGCAACATAATCAAACTCAGTCTTTCAGCTTGGCATGAACATCTTACCCTGTCAGTTTAACGGCTTTTGTTATTACGTAAACTGCTATTTCTGTTTAATCATCTGAAGCCTCAGGCCTACTAAAGTTAATAACCACTTACCACTAATGGTGACAGATTTTCGGTCGGTCTGCGTCGACAGCTCCTCTGCCTCTGACTGAGAAGAAGCAGGGCAGCCCCGTCTGCTGGACAGCGACTGGAACAATGCATTAACATTTGCAAAGGAGATGTCCTGGGCTGTCTGTGTATGTATGAAAGGAGGGGAAAGCACATGCATTTCTTGGTTTTTAGCTCAACTTACTGCTTCTGCATGATAGTACAGACATAACACTCAAATGCAATTTCTGCTATAACCTCTGCAGATCTTACTGTTGTGCATTGCCCATTCTGTGTCTTCAGCAGGTCTTTGTCATCAGTTTCAATGCCAAAGGAGAGGTAAGGACTGGAAACAATGTCTCCCCAGTAGCCCCTGACAGCCACTTTGCCCCCTTTCTGTCCAAAAACACACTCTCACAAATGAACACACAAAAAGTTACAATTCTTCAAAATTCTTGAACTGTGAAAAACAGTCACGCACCTGCCTGAACACTCTTGAGGAGAGCAAACTCTGATTCGTTATTTGGTAGACGCCTTCCCTCATTTCGAATGCCAAACCTCGTTCCCTCCATCGCATGTATTGTTGTTTGTTGATGACACCACACTGCAAAGAGAGAGTTAGTACAAGTAAATGTGTTCATCCCTCAATGCAAAAAAAAAAAAAAAAAAAGCCTCTGAATTCTTCTAAAATAGCACATTTCTATCGACCATCAGGAAGTTACTCACATACCCCTTTCTCGTGCAGTTTCATTGTCAGGTCCCAGTCGAAGCAGCCTTTCTTGGAGTCATAGCGTGATCCGAGGTGCTGCCTGACCCGATAATCCCAGGCTTTGGACATTAAAATGGGAGATGAAGACTGAGGCTGAATCCATGACTTGAATATTCTTGCCAGCTCATCTCTCTCCTTAAACTGTAGAGATATTCAAAATGTATGAAAATAGTCCACTTTCACTTAGTTTCTACAACACATACGCAGCTATATTTGGTTTATGTACAGTTTGGTAGAAGGCCTAAATAGCTGGTTACAGAAATGGCTCATTCCTAAGAGCGAGAGAATGAAAATAGGCTACTTTTCACAAATGGTGGTACCTTGAGAAGAGTTGTGTTCAGACAAGGATGGGCTTCTTTCTCCAAGGTTTCCGTAACACTAAGAGAGAGCTGTGATGCGACACACCTCAGAGTCTCTTCTGTCTGACTGCGGATCTCACTGTTGCCAAACACCTCCAGGAATAATTCTGTCTTCTCTGAAATCATTCAAATGTGATAAAATAACATACATGTTTGTGACACATCTAGCTTTCTTCATATTTTTTCCGAGCATAAATGAAGAGAAAAAAAACCACAAGATCCAAGTTACCATTATTTCCCATGCTCTCTGGGGGCATCAGTGCCAGGGAGAGGAGCAGCAGCTGTCTAGCCACCACCTCCATGCTGTTTTCTATTACCCACACCTGCAGAAGAGAAGGAGGGAAGGCATAAATATCTCGCAGTCCAGTAGCCTCCACAGATTTGTCCTCGGGGGTCGTATGACAACAAATTCAAGCGATTGGAGCTCACACGAAGGCTTTCTGTGTTCTGCAAACCAGCAATGGTCTTCAAAATATGTCTCGGATCTCCACTGCCGACGAGTAAAACATTTGCTTCACCTTCAACTCTCACAGAGCCTAAAAACAGAAAGAAAGCATATGTTCGAAGACTTCAAATAGGCTACAATATACAGAAGCTTAATATACGAAATGGTTTCATACTGCATATCAAAGTTGGCATTAGACCTTTAGTAGGTTTTCAAGTAATGTTTCCTTATTCTTAATTATACATTTGCCAATTACTGACGTATAAGTTCATTTGTATTTGGAAGAAAATTACAATTATGGAGTATTTATTTATTTCCAAAAGTAATATAGCCTAATTACTACACTATTATAGGTATAGAATGAATACCTCAGAACTGTAGTTAACTACAGTATCTAAGCATAAAGTGACTTATTCAACACACTCAAGCAGATGAAGGTTCTCTTGTGGTATAGGCAAGCCCAAAGAGCCATAATCTTCACTTTGCAAATACGTTTTGGTAACCTACAAAAAAAGCACACCAAAAAGTTTGCTGCAAAATAAGCAGAAAGGGTTAATTTACCTGAAACTAAACGATGTAAAAAAACAAAAATGCGTTTTTCAGGGCGTAAAAAGAACCACCCTCTCCTGAACGCGTTTTTTTTTTTTTTGGACAAAACACAACACGTTTATGAGATGATGATATTCACATGTACTTTTCTGGGCTTGCCATACCTTGCTCACCTGTATTCAGCAGGTCGCGCGCAGGACTGAAACCCCACCAACCGATGCAGCCCGCGCCCTCTGACGCTCGTCCAGCACTCATCCTCTAAAGTGACGTCACTGTAAGTGGTGCAGACCATAACTCAATCAGGAGGCTGATGTTGATACACATTTAAGTCTCAACAGAGTGTTATTGGGCACAGTCGTCTCTTCGTGGAAAATATAGTAAGTAAGTTTAGCACGAACTTTAACTGATTCTAGTAAACGTTAATATGTTAATATTTTATTATTTATAGAGTGACGCTGGTATTCAGGGGCACAAGCCTGTCTTTAACCTAACTGTGGAGAAACAAGACGGCCATGAACTACGACCAGATACTATAAATGGAAACAAACGTGATAGTAAAGAAACTGAACTGACTCACCTTTTTATGCCAGCGTCTGGTCTGTACCGCAAGTTTGTGTCCTGTTGCTTGGCAACGTTGGTTTTATGGGGGCGTAAGGGCGCCATCTACTGGTGGAATGCTGGAATCCGCGTTAAAAAGGTGTTTAAATAATATACCCTTCACTGATAATTCCCAAGTCTAATTTCTACAACTCCTTGTGTATTTACTTTTTGCTGATAATTAGTAATGCATTTAATTTGGATGCTGCTTGTTTGAATTATCAGCGACTTTAACTTAGTTATCGGTCAGGGAGTAAGCGAAGCCTTGATGTGAAACTGTCCAATGTGTTTATTTTAATTTGACAAGAACCAGAACATTTCAAAAGACATGTCAGGACTTTGCTGCACAACAGCACAACAAAAAAAGTAAAGATGCCCAGTTTACATACCTTGAGATGAAGAGGCTTATAGTCTAAGGGGCCAACAAACACATCAGGACTTACTGATCCTTCCAATAAGCATCCACATTATACTTGGCCAGTGCATGAGAATACACAAAGGATGCAAAATAATCATTTCCAAGTACACAAGTAAGGATTTGTAGAGGTTTACAGTACAATATTAATATATGAAGCCAAGGTTTTAATACCAAACAAATATCAAAAATTGTCTGTACATTACACTCCCACGCACGAGCATTGAAACACATTAAAATAGCTGAAAAGAAAAGCAACAAAATACAGACATGCAAAATTGAGAAAACATCAGGTCTAACAACATAGCCTATCAGCAGTATTTAACGCTCCAACAAGGTGCCCCTCTAACGCGGTTTTGCTTTGACTGCTGCATCGACCTCTTCCTCCGGCAGAAGAGTGTGCCACTGGGCAACTGGACGTCTGGGATTGGCAAGCATATCCGACCAGTGTCGCAGGCCCACTCCTGTAGCTCCATAACCCATAAAGGTTTTTCCAATTGGATCATTGCTTCCAAGTTTATCATAGTCAAACACTGTGATGACAACCTGCACTTTCTGAGAGAGAAAAATAAACATGTGTCATCAAATAGTTCACCACATCAACGTAGGGATTTGTAAATTGCTAATTGATATGACGGAACAGCTTACCTGAATCTGCTCAAAGGGGACTTCAAAGCTGAAACTCTCATTAAAGTAAGGATTGAGCGTGTTTTTCTTTACCGTCGTCTTTTTCTTCTTAATGCGTTTTCCATTTTGCTGCAGAACAATCTTCACATAGGGATCTTATGGAAGAGGAAACAAAAAGGGTAGTATACTTGTGTTTTTGTTGGGGCTTCATTATGTTCTCTTGAGTATGTTGAATTTGCCCATTACCAGGAATTAAGTGATTACCTGAGAGAATGATCAGTTTTAGGAATCTTAATTACCTGATAAGCCACCAACGTCCATTTTCTTCAGATTCTTCGCCTCCATGATGTTCACTGTAAGTTTTCCAGCAGTGGGTACATATCGCAAAGAAATGCAAATATCGCCAAGTTTTTCTTGCTGAAAGAGAAATATTACAAATTACCTTCATGTGCCCTCAAATAAAACTAAAGACATCTTTTGAAAACTGCAAACTCTAAAGTACATTATTGAGTGAATTTAAATGTGAAATATCTATTCCAGTGCACTTATTTATATCTTATTTAGTATCACCTCAACAAGGTTGATTGAGGACATATTATATCATACCTCCTCCTTCTCCCCACTCTCCACGTCCCTCCATTGTTGCATCGGCTGGCCCAAATCAACACTGTTCATGGGAATCTTTATCTCGCCGATCATGTCATGCTTTGAGAAACGATCGAAGTCAAAGACTTGCAACACCAAAGTCTTTCCTCCCAACTCAGCATATGGGATCTAAAAGGAGAAGTTAATAGACATTTTTAGAATATATAACTAGAGAAGGTAAAGAGCAAACTTTTTGTTTAATAATACTTTATGAACATTTTCAGATCCAGAAGAAAACAGAGAATATTTAACTATAAACATACTGCTCTGTTAGAGGGGATGGATACCTTGACAGATGCCACTCAGGGAATGAAAAACTACAGACGAGGGAAGGTAGAGACATAGGCCAAACTTCTGCTTATTAAATAATATTTCATCAACACAAACTGCGACAGAGACATCAAGGACAAGTCAGCAACGGGTATACCTTGAAGATGAAAGTCTCGTTGAAAACAGGGCATAAATTCTTGCGTTGAACTTTAGTCTCGTACTTCTTCTTTTTGTCTGGTAACAAAAACACTTTGACGTAGGGGTCTGAGGTCCCCCCCATGTCCATAGCGGCAAGGTCTTGAGCCTGAAGGATGCCCACTATGAGCTTTAGAAGAGAATACGAGAATCAGAAAGGCGTTCTAAGGCTTCTATGTAGTAACTGTGTTAAAATGATATGTTTAAATATTCTGACAACAATTGTGTTTCCACACAGGACCTACCTGGGCATCTGTGAAGTTGTAATCCAACGAGAACTCCAGCTTACCCAGCTTTTCCTGTTCTTTCTCCTCTTCCTCCCCTTGCTTCTTCACTTCCCCCTCCTACAAAATAAAAGAGCCAACGCTTTGGATATTCGTCATAAAGGTCTACATTAGGTCAGATTACACAAGAACAGAACACTGAAACCACATACCTTCTCTCCTGCCTCTCCTTCGCCTTCCTTTTCTTTTTTGCGGCGACCTGTCTTCCTCTCCCTCACTTTCTTGGGCTTTTTCTTTTTCCCAAAGCATTTTTTAAAAACACAGAAGATGCAGCACGCCACCAAAACCAGGACCACCACAACTATGGCTGCTACTGCCCACACAGGGACTGCAACAGAAAAAGAGTTGAATTCACTCGTCAGTATCTGCGGCAGAATTAAAGAATAGTGTCAGAAAGGAGTTCATGTGTGATCCCCTAGTTTCCATTACATTTATTACACTGTAAAAATGGGTGTGTTTTAGGATTTTAAAGAGGAACATTAAAGAGAAGTTAGTTTAAAAGAGTCAGCTTTTTTCTTTCAGATAAATGAACTTTAAACATATTGTAAAACACTTTTTCAAAGCTTGAAACCAGTACAAACTGGGTAATGTGTAATATTCTCAAAATAAATATGATACTAAGAGTGGATTGGACAGTTCATCGAAGCATTCTTTCCTTGATACTTATAGTTTCAAGCTCTTGTTTATCTACGGGCGGTTTGCTGACACGTGATGTTTTCAGCAGCACCCTTCACCACAATCTGATAATAACACACTCCCAGCACGGGAGTGTCCCTGAACAACCACATTCGCCAGCAGAATTTAGTGCCTTACTAAGTGCACATAAGCAGGAGTACAGCTCTCTGGAACTTTTTCGGCTTAGATTTTCATCTGCATGACTTTGACTTACATCTACTATTCTTACAAAAATATTTTATAAATATAATTTTCAACCCTATAAGAAAATATTCTGCTGTGTAAAAAGAGATTGAAAAAAGAAGCTTAGTGTAGTGTATTTTCTTAAGGAATTTTCATTTCTCAAACAACTTGAACTTCTAGACACTAATTCAAACAGCTTGATTAAGCTGGTAAAGATACATAATCATATTTAAAATCCATATGGTTAATTTATGTTTTGGGTTTGGAATTCCTCTTACAAATTATAACCAAAGATATACACTTTATTTCAGCATGCAAATGAAGTAAGTCATTTGTGTTGAGCATTCCTAGAAGGTGCTTACTTGGCAGATGACCCAGTTCATTCATGAACTTCTCCTTCATGTGGTTGTAGTCGTGCCCGGGGTGATGTTCTGAGTGGGTGTGCTCGTGGTGTTCTGTGTGCGAGTGCTCATGATGAACAGGCTCTGTTGCCTCCTCTGGCTCTGGTTCGGACGACTCTGCAGCCCGTCGGGCCCGGGCCCCAACACTGGCCAGCCTCATGTCAGCTTTAAAAAACAACAGAATCAGTCTTGTTACTCATTTGCTGTTGATTTACTATGTTCTCTGTCATTTTGGACCTACAGTGAGAGATAACACCATTTCATATGTACTCTATGTAATCCCTATGTCCATGCGTTGCAGTACAGTTGGAGAGCATAGTACATCTCTAAGCCAGATGCTCAACATGGCTGACCCTAATCCCTCTGTTACTCTCATTCTCTCTGTCATCTCCTCCCCCCATAACTTCAGCCTACCCGTTTGTCCCATACCCATTTTCTCTCGTCACTGTTTCTGAATGTAACTGGATTAAATTCTGGCGCTACATTATTAATCCAAAATCCTGGATCCTCATAGCTTAAATAAATAGGGATGGTCTCCTCCCTCAATTTTTTTATTGATTTTTTATTATCAATATTTCAAAGGGTGTCCAGTGGCCAAGATAGAGAAGAAACACGTCTTTTAATCCTAATTTTTTCCCCCAATATTTATCCCAAATTCCATACTGACAGCAATTAAACAAAAACATGGTTTCCTATAAGCGATGCTGTAGGTTTAAAGAAGACCACCATTAAAATGATGCCTAAGAGATGTTCTCATTCAGCTGTAATATTTTCACTTGGAGAAAGAATTGATTCATTCCGAATTTAGCAGGAAAGCCAGGATTGATCCAGTCCTTTTTTTCTACACTGTAAAACATTTATCAGCACGATATCACACTCAATGCTACTGAGAGACAATCAAAGTAAAACAGTACACGCTGTGATGCACACATGTGACGTACTGTACTCTAAAGCTGAGCCTTATCTTTGCTGAAATATGTAATTTACTGAACTGTTTTTCACCACTAAGTGTCTGGTTGTCTCATGTAAAACATTAAGCTTCTACCTCACAGTGAGTAAGCAAAGTCACACAATGATCATACAGTGTCCATAAAAGTAGAAATGACATTATGAGAAGTACAGATGTGTTCAAACTGCATTACATATCCAATGACTATCTGACTGAATTCTTAATTAAAGTTGTTTTAAGGCTTTTCACAGGATGCACTAATGACTATGGAAATGGTTGAGCTGAAACCCAAAGTTTTTTCTTGGTCAGATCCAGGAATATGTACCCACTGCTTTTTAAATATAACAGGAAATAAACATAGATTATTTTGATGGAATCAAACATTTCTCAGAGGTTTTTGTTATATTTTCTGCATGAAATTAAAACATTAGCAGAGTGAAGAAACATGCATAATGAACTTATCCGCTGTTTAAAGGGATGAACACGTTGTTTGAGACGTATGCCCTAAAACTATGAAAAAAAGATACAAAACTAATTTTTTCTCACCAGCTCAATTTGTTTAAAATGCTCCTCCTTCAATCAACCCCCTCAAAAGTCTGAATCTTCTTTTTCTTACCTGTTGATATGTTCCTTTACTCCCCTCTATACCAAAATAACTTTTGGAGCAGCTTAAAGTTCAAAAGGTGTTTCTTGTCGCTTCCCTTTTTGCCTCACACACTCATCTCTCCTCTTCTATGTTGTTGACTCTGACTGACATGCTCCTTTCAATCCTTTCCATCAAAGCTGAAACGCTGGCAAATCACTAGAGCAGCGTTGTGTTTTAATCCCCCTCTTGCCCTCCTCCCAATATTAGAATACTGACAACACATCTGTTGCTTTATGTCTCTTGCTGGAGATGCTGAGATCAACAGTGAGCATATTTCTTAAGTGTGAAATTATCTCACACTTAATGGATGATCTAAGCCTCCCCTCATTGAGTTGTGAAGTTGTTCATTAGACTCATGAGACATGGCCGTGTTGGTTGTTTTTCTCCATTAGACTGAAGAGATTGTGTGCATCGGTCCTTTCACTAATCCCCTCTGCATAGCTGTCCTCGCAGTCAATCGTCGATCTACACACAACTTTCACTTAGAGAGGATATTTCATCCCACCCGTCCCTTGGCTTACCGTTTTACTGTACAAAACACACATCCGCATTTGGAGCACTGTGAAGTGTAATCTGCAGGCGTGCTGCCATGTGTTTGCATCGCTTTATCAGCAGATCACAGGGGCTCCAATCCAACATGAAACAGCTTCATCTAAATAGTTCACTTACTCAACTGCAGAGAGAAAGAACTTGGAAAAATAAATCAAACAGCAACCAAAATAAATGAAGTCCTTTCTAGGAATTATGGAAGGGCTGTTGTGCTAATTGATGGAGCCCTTTCATTGTTGAGGTCAATCCCCTAGATATAACGTAAATACACAACATTAAGACTATTCGGATTTTAACCTGCTATGTTAGGTGAGATGTCGGTCACAAGTTGTTGTTTTTTTTAAGACAGAACTGTTTGATCTGAACAAATTATTTACTATATCCATTTTCTTTGCTCAATTTTATAACATCTACACAATTTAACAGCAGTGTGTTGGGGCTCTAGATACAAACTAAAAATAAAGAACACATCATCAGTGATGTATGCACATGACATACAGTACTCTGAAAGGTATTCTTATCTGATAAACATGTTATTTACTGGACATTTTGAACCACAAAGCGTCTGGTAGTGTAATGTTAAACATTAAGCTCCCACCAGCAGTGAGTAAGCAAAGTCCTTCAGCTATCATTACAGGGTTCTATAGGTTCAGGTGTGAGAGAAAAACACAATGTTCATGATAGATTTGCTGACTTCAACATAAAATTTAACTGGTAAAGTGGTTAAAAAAAACCCCATCAAACATAAGGTCAACATGATCTGATTTATTCAGTGATAGTCCATTTTTAAATGATTCTGTTGGATTAATAATGTATGCATTTACAAATGTTTGTGGAGGTTAAAACCTCAGACAGACTGGAATGTATGACACGTGATACAAGTTTTTCCAAATGAACAAATGGCCCATTTCAACAGCTTATGAACATGGTAGTCTTAGCACCATTTCATGAGAATATTATTTTTGCAACATGGATTGCAATCAAAATTGAGGTATTTCCTGTTATTTTTGCTGAGAACTTCTCTTGTGCTGCGGCTACAAGATTGACATTTATGGTAAACTTTTTCTTAACGGAGTAAAAATGCACACAGGGTCGTTGCCCTCCTGACTCTCTTTAGCGTTTGAAATGTGGAGCTTATGTCACGGTGCTGCTGTGACCTCTTAAAGAGTGTGTTTATCAAAGAGGTATTCTCCCATAGAGCCGTGTGTCTCAGACGAAGTCAGACGGGTGAGGCTGCCTATGTAATCGCCAAGCTTCTTGATGGTATCATGGCTGTCGATGAAGAAGTGCTGCTCAAGGAAGTCACCCAGCTACAGAAAAAGTGAGACAGAAAATAGTGAGTGAGGATTAAAAAAAATATATATATATATATATTAAAGAATAGGGTTGTAACAACACCAGTGTTTAACTTCTATGCGAGTTGAAAATCAAACATTGATACCTGTTTTGATACGACAGCAACAAAAATAGAAGTACTAGGCCCCCAAATGTTGGGTCATTTCTCATCTTTAATTCCCCCAAATTGCAGGCAAACTCCTGCACACTGTCAAAACTGCACATATACATTGGCAACGTTTCAGTACAGAAACATTTCCAATGTATTTGATCCCTTTAGACAGTTTCTTCAGGTGTCCCCAGAAACACTATATATCATGACTGTATGAGCTGTCGCTTTGGTATTTATCAATACTATCAAAGTAAATAACAGAGTACGTATCACTTTAAAACAAGTTTTGCATAATTGAAATTTTTCACGACCAAGAGTGTTCATGCATGTAATAAATCTACTTGGCAAAGGCTAAACGGTCCTTAAAACCTTCCAGACAATTATCATAGCGTTAGGCAGGCGCTCACACTGTACCAGCATAGTGTTTCTTTCATATTCACAATGAGCTAGAAAACGGCATTAAAAAAGGGGCAGTTTTGGTTATCAAACAGTTCCAGACTTACGTGAGGGTCGGTGTTGTTGCCAGCTCTGCGGTGCACATCAAGGATACATGTGTTCAGGGTCTTCTGGTAGTCCAGAGAAAAAGTCAAGGCATCCAGACCACCTCTCCAATCCTCTCTGCTTGGTTTCTAGAAAAGAAAGTGGATTTTTGGATGAACAAATGCACTTAGAAATGTACTCACACTAACAAAAATGGCTAAAAAAAAAATCCCCCCCCCGCCCCGCCCCAGACCCTTTCTATAAACGGGACATCGTCTACTAACGGCAATATTTTGCAGCAGAATCCGTCCTCCTCTCATGTTTTGATACTCCAGCAGCTTCTCAGCCTGTTCCCTCTCTTTCACCGAGCGCTCCAAGAAAAAGCTGGAGAAACTTGGCAGGGCCACATCATCTCTGTCAAAGTACATCCCCTAGAGTGTGCAAAGAAACACAGTGTTTGAGGATTCAATTGCAAATACAAAAAGAAAACTCATGCAGTGACCAAGTATCTGGATAAACATTACTGCGTTACAAAGAGATCTCACCAGAGAAAGGTAGGTGTAGGATGCACTGAGCTTCAGGTTGATGAGCTTGTTGATGTCTCCTTCGGTCTCCGAGTGGAGGTTTTGTTTGACCACAGACTGCATTTCTAAAAGACAGAAATGAGGACAGGTATCAAGTCGTGTAGCAGTAAAAAAAAAAAAAAGACAAAGTACCTCAGTGCTCTCTGAGAGTCAACTTTCCTCTGAAGTAGCTTCACACACACACACACACTATATGGTCTTGTACGCCAGCCTTCTTTAACGACACCAGTGTTTAACAGCTTCAGTAACACATCAGCCAACACACACTTGTTATTATGAGATTTGGGTTCAAGTGGGTTGTACAGTTCCGGGTCAGGTGTTCAAAAAGGTTAGGCTGACGTTAGCACCCTATGCTGGGTGAAATCCATTGCAAATAACACGACACGTGACATTTACCCAGTTACATGTTAAAAAGCTTTTGACATTGTTTGGTAAAAGCGCCAACAAAACAGTGATAACGAAGCTCTCGTTGAAGCTGCAGGCTAGTTGTTGAGCTAAGGTTAGCTGCTTCAGTATTAACTTCACAACAGATGAGAATTACTGTTTCTTAAATGTACCTGAAGTATTGTTCACTTACTTGGTCTGTGACTGTAACGCTGCTCCACTTTACCAGTATTGTAGCTGGCTTTATCTTGTTACACGCCACAAAACAGCGACCCTCCCCTGATGGCTGATAACTTTAAAGCGCCAGTGTAATGTGTGTGTGTGTGTGTGTGTGTCCTCCTTTCGCATCTCTACTGCCACCTGTCGTGTTGGGGACGTATGACAAGATTAAGATTATTTTTTTTACACTCTGCAGTCATGCACACAAACAGGATCATATGGACATGCACTAATGGAGAGATGTCAGAGTGACAGGGTGGCCCACAGTGGGCGCTCCTGAGCTGGTGGTGGGGAGGGGGTTTGGTGCCTTGCTCAAGGGCACCTCAGCAGTGCTCAGGAGGTGATCTGGCATCTCTCCAGCTACCAGACCAACTTCCATACTTCGTCTGCACTGGGACTTGAACCGGCCACCCTCCGGTTCCCAACTCAAGTCCCTACAGACTAAGCTACTGCCGCCCCAATACAATGTGAGGTTGTTCAAATACAGACTCATCATAAGTTGATTTTCCAGTTATTTTGGACAGTGGATTTTTGATAGGCTGAAGAAATAGTGGTACTTGAAATAATCACATTATTGTATGTATTTGGTGCTTGAAGGTTTAAGGATTTCTCCATTCAAAGCGCACCAGACCCACAAAATCCCCTCAAAATATTGTAAATGTTTGGTCATTTTGTTAGTACTTGTAATCTGTTTTAACTTCAAAGTATTTTTTTTTTTCTTACCAAGATTTCACTAACACCAAAGTCTTTGTAAATATTTTTTCTCATGCAGTTGTGAATTCAAATATGCCAAAAAGCCCATTACAATTCAATTCAATTCAATTCAAAAAACGTTATTTGTCCCCGGGGGGCAATTCAAAGGCACACAGAGCAGTAAATTAACAACAGTGCAGGTAGACAAAACATTTTAACTTAAAAATATAAAGTGTCAATTTAAATACAACTTAAAGCTTGAACTTAACTTAAAAATACAAAATATAAAAAGAGTAGATATAAGTGGACAGGGATCGGACTGACAGATGTAAACAGAACTATGTGCAGTAAATGAGAAATAAATATATATATACAGAGCTATGTGCAAGTAGGCAAACTAAATGATAAGTTAATAAGGTGCATGGTGAATAATGGAACAACAGGATTAATATATACAATATAACTGTAAAGGTAAATATGAGATAAATAAAGTGACCGTAGTGCAATGATAGATAAGAAACAACAGGAATAAAGTAACCAGAACTGGATGAATACTGAAATAGAAAGGATAGAATAAAGTGATGTAGTGCATGAGACCAGATAAAGCAGAGGCAGTTAAGGTGCACGGCAAATAGGAAGGAAGTAAAAAAGCAAATTTCACAGCTGAGAGTCTGCATTGGGTGAGAGATGTTACATATTGCTTTATTGTGCTACGAGCACACAAGGCTGGAGCTACAGGTACCAAGAAACGTTATCGACATTTTTAATTGCTTAGCCAACCAAAATGTATAAAAGATGTTTAGAATTCTGATGAGTTGTACGCTTTGTGTAAATTAAAACACAATTAACATGAGCAGGATGTAAAATATGCAGGTTTTTAAATGGTATAAAAGGTAAACCACCATGCAGACCTGGGCCAAAAATATTAAAATACAGTAAGTTTGCATGATTGTAAAAATAAATATGACATTCAAAACATCCCCCCCATTATGCTCAATATACAGAAGCTTGTTACAGTGGTTCTGTTTAAAAGTCAGTTGTGTACTTTAGTACCCAATCTGTTAGGGGAAAAGTGTGATGATTTACGATGGTTTACTTCCTTATAATGTTACCAAATAGAGAACATTTGACAGGTTAGTCTTTGACATACCCCTCTTTTATTGACCTCTTCTGATAAAACATGAGACCATAAACACCGTCATAACTCATAACTTCATGTTTCTAAATTGGGGTGAGGATGTTTCTCTCTGTGCAGTTCCTTATATATCTTAACCACAATGAAGCCAGGACTATCTCTGCCCCCGATGACAGTGCAAAGAAACCAAAAGCAAATCTAAGGTGCTGTGACCCCCCCCCCCATCTGAAGAGAAAAGACAGTGATTTGACAAAGAAATCATTAAAATAATCATGTTTTTAAAAAGGTTTAATTGTATGCATGTAAAGCTCGTCAACAATTAACCTGAAAGTGGCAGGGATAGAAATCCAGCCAATATAAAGCAATTATCAGCAATAAAAATGCTCAACTGAGACACTTTGACCGTTAATAAGGAAGTAACAGGCGGGGCAAAGGTCTCTGTGGTTGTACAAGGCCAAAAAGGAGAAGCAGTTATATACAAAGCCGCTTGTATGAGAAAGGACCAGAGGTTACAGAGGGAGGGCATGGTTGAGAATTAAAAGTCAACACCTTTGGAATAAAATTAATATTGGACGGCTTCAGCCCAGGCATGAAGGCATTTTTTACAAGACTTACGTGTTGTTGTTTTTTGTCAACACATCAGTGAAAGTACTGAAAATAGAAACTTGAAGTTTATCTTGGGACAAAAAAACAAATTGAAAAAGTTAATAATCTTCGCTTACCTTCAAAATGATGAAGCCGTTTTTCTTCAAAATCATCTCAGACAAGTCGCTGCTGGGCTTCTTCCTGTGTCTGCTTTGGGTAAGCTTTTTTTTTAACCTTCTGCTTTGATAGCGATCAAGTAGTGAATGTTTAGTGAAGAGACGGTTTCCCCTCAACAAAAGAAACTGTAGAGTCTAAACCACAGTTAAGATTTAGAGCATGATATGCATCATAATGAAGATTAGACTGTGGAATTACAAGATCTGAAATATAAGTATGCACTGAAAACAACAAGACTTGCATAACCTAAGAATGAAGAACCTTTTCAGATTGTGAAATATTCAAATGTATTATTCTCAGCAGTAGTCATCTTTTCCCACTGACTTCCTCAGAGTAACAAAAGTAATGAGGAAACAACTTAAAATAAATCATAAGCAAGAGCTGCCCATACAGCATCTGTATTTACTGTTGAATACATTCAAGAAGAAAGTTAATGTTTTGTATTTTATTAAGTCCATATTTTTAAGAAGGTACTTAATGCTAATATCCCATGTTTACAAAATGTAACCAATGGAAGTTTTCCTTTTGTCAATATAGCCCAGAAATATCTAGTTTTAATAAATGTTGCTTTCTGTAAACCCCCCCCCCCCCCCTCAGTTTACCAACTGTTTTTGTTGTGTACCATTGTGTTTCACTAAGAGTGGATTTAGAGGTAGACCCATTAAAATATGTGCATTAGGGTCTCTTGTCTGGATTTAAAAATAGAGTAACACACTTGTAAAAAGAGTTTTTCTAAACATCTGTGTCAGGCTGCTGTTAAATGTATGATAGATACAAAATGATATCGATAAGATTAAAGTATATTTATGAAGATGCTCAGATTAAATTGCAGTTCTCTTAACTTTATAGATTGCTCTGTTACACTTTGGCTTTTTCACACTATGAATCTCTATTTTCAGTGTGTCACAGATTCCAACACAACATCAACACCAACATCAACTCTGATAACAGCCACGACACCGACAACAGCCCAGACACCGACAGCAGCCCAGACACCGACAACAGCCACGACACCGACAACAGCCACGACACCGACAACAGCCCCGACACCGACAACAGCCCCGACACCGACAACAGCCCCGACACCGACAGCAGCCCAGACACCGACAACAATTTCAACTACAATTAAACGTAAGTCTGAGCTGCTGTCCCTTATCTTTGTTGACATGTCTGTTTGCTTGTAATAAAGCAGACGTTTGTGAATTACACCATAGCACCATAACTGTGAAGAACGATGGTTAATGAAGTCTTCTTACTGTTTTACTCTTGTAAAAAGTTTCAACTTGATTTTTTCAGCCCCTGATGACGTAGAGGAAGTTACCGTGAAGATTCAAAATGAGACAAGTATAACTCTGACGTGGAACAAAGTCAACAACATCACGACATATTTCCTAAAATATGACGACAAAGACGGTGCCAAGGAGAAATATATCAATCAAAACAATGGAGAGCAAGCTGTTGTAAAGGAGGTCTCTAATCTGACAGCTGGGACAGTATATCATTTCACTGTCATCACTACATCAGATGGACTCAACAGCAGTGGAAAATCAGTTGAAACGTTCACCCGTAAGTAACCTTTGGTTTACAACAGTAAACATTGTGACTCAAGTATTCTTCTTCTTCTATTCTTTTCTATATATATATTTGTGGAATTCAACTTTCAATGGCCAATGAGACAAGATGATTGTATAGATTCAGGAGGGCTAACAAACTTGTATTTGTATCCTAGGGCCTCGTAACGCAGACAATTTCAAGTCCATTGAGGAAACTGAGACGAGTATAACTCTACAGTGGGAGAAAGTGGAAAACAATGACTATCTAATTAAGTATGGTTCAAATGAGGAACCATTCACCATGTTAGATGAAAACTCAGTGAAAAGGAAAATCTCAGGTCTTACAACTATGACCGAGTACAACTTCACCCTCTTCACTGTGTTTAAAAATACCACAAGCAGAGGAGTACACATCATTGCATTCACTGGTAAGAGAATATTTATACCTGGAGCTAAAACAGCACACTTTACACATATAAGTTGAATTCAAGTTTCTTTGTAAGAGGTGGATGTACTTTGCTTTTTTGCTTATGCTTATAAAATCTTGGAATTAAATGCAGGTTTTTATTAGCTGCTGTTGCTGATATATTAGTTTGAATGCAACTTGTGTTTTTGAAAAACATTAAGCGAGAGATAACCATTCCTTAAGTCAAATTTAAGCTGTTGTAACAGTTTCTTCTCCATTTCTTGGGACACCCTAGCTCCTCCCAACCCAGGGGACTTCAAATCAGTGCAACAAAACGAGACCAGCATCACTCTGCAGTGGGAAAAAGTTAATGGCATCCTCAATTATAAACTTAAGTATAATGGAAAGGAGATAAACGTTGCATCTGAGGGACTAGTTTCAGAGCAATACACAATCTCTGGTCTTACAAGTGGGACTAAATACCAGTTCAGTCTGTTTGCAGTGTTTGAAAATGTCCAAAGCAGTGGAGTAAGAGTGTCTGCAGTCACAGGTAAGATGTTTTACTTTGTAAAAAACCTTCAAAAGCCTGGTGAGAACTCAGTTATATCAAATCTGGGTTTCCATGTAACAGAGGGTGTTTCTCTCTGAATATATGTGACAGTGACTTATAAAATCGGGGTAAAGACTTTGTTCTCTTACTCAGTTTGTCACATTCTGACATTTCTTTTTTTTTTTCTCTAAATGTGTTCCTTTCTCGTGTTTCTTTACTTCCTAGCCCCTCGTAACACAGAAGCGATAACAGTAGTTGGACAAAATGAGACCAGCATCACTCTGCAGTGGACCAAAGTTAATGACATGCTCGATTATACACTTGTGTTTAATGGATCTGAGATACACATCCCTGCATCAGAGAGAAATCTAGTAACAGTTTCAAATCTCACCAGTATGACTATATACCACTTCACTCTCTTCACTGTGTTTGAAAATGTCCGAAGCAGTGGAGTAAACATCTCAGCGGTCACTGGTAAATAATTGTTTTCTTACAATATGCCCATATTCTAACAACATTTTAACTGTTAATAACACTTTAATATAGCCAACATGTTTTTCAGTAAAAAGAAGAAAAAATACATTTTTATATCCCATTATTATCATAAATTAGATTTCATTACAGTTTCTTCTCCATATTGTTTTTACCCCAGCGCCTCCAAACACAGAAGAACTTAAATCAGTTGAACAAACAGAGACCAGCATTACTCTGCGCTGGAAAAAAGTGGGCGACATCCTCAACTATGTACTTGTGCACAATCAACTTGAGGAAAACGTCACAGCATCAAAAGAAGAGTTTGTGACCAAAACAATCATTGGACTTATGAGCGGGACTAAATATGATTTCAGTCTCTTTGCTCTGTTTCATGATGTCAGAAGCAGCGGACTTAACTACACTGCAGCCACGGGTAAGTGTTCCATGTCTTTGTATAGACTTACAACAAGAGCAAGCTGGGTAATTTTATATCCACTTATTAGACTTTTACCTATTCCTTAATGTGGCTGTTTATATTTTTAAAAGTTGTTTCATATTTTCTCTGTATATTTTAGCTCTATGTGACATAGAAAATGTGTACACTTTATATCTGAAGCGGACGAAATCCTTGAGTGAAATATTTTAAAGCTCCCTCGAGGAGATTATAGATGGTTTTAAACAGGTTGAAATTAATACTGATGCCTCTATGAGACCCACAAAAATCACACAAGATCATCAACCAGAAAACTGATTATTTCTGAGATATTTTTTAACCGCTGTCATGGGGTAGGTGTCAAACAAAGTGAGATGATGAGATTTTACCTCAGAAAAGACTACGTACACATTCACAGGACAAAGTCAGAGATAAGAAGTATCATTTTGTCCACAGGGATTGCCAAAACACTCAACACTAAAGTTCCTGAAAGGAGCTTTAATGGAAATAAGATAAGCGTCAGTGTTTCAGAGAGACACAAAAACTGAGAGCTCTCAAGTGGGGCATGAGATGATTTCAGTCAGCCCGTTGTGTTTGAAAATGGAAGAAGAGAGAAAGATCGACAGTGAATTAATCTGTCTTCAATGTGTTGACTCAAGTCTGTGACCAGAGATCCACTTTTTTCTTTTTTACTGAAGATGAGTGAAATCTTTTCTTTTATCAGTTCCCTCCCCAGTGGCTTTAGTGAACGTGACTGAACGCTCTGTGGACAGAATAACCCTTGTGTGGGAGAATGTGAGGAAAGACTGGACCTACTCTCTCCAGATAAATGGGGAAGATCACCATCCAGAAGTACTCGAGGATGTGGTGTTAAAAGAAATCCTCCATCTCAAGCCTGGCACAGAGTATACATTCAGGGTGACCACAAAGTTCTTTGAACACGACAGCTCTGCTTTTGAAGACTTCACAGTGACAAGTAAATACACAACTATTGTTATAGATTTGGTTCTGTGAATAAAAAGTACCTACATGTGCTGGTTCTTGAAAACCTGAGTTAGGATTCTTTTAAATGTTATTTTATGCAGGCTTAAACAGCTGAAGGTAATGCTCTGAAATGATTTTGTCTTTCATTTCAGCCATAGACTGTGCAGCTGTAGACTGGAAAGTTACGAACTCATCGATCACAGGAACGGTTGAAGGCTTGTTCTCAAATGCAACGGCATCTAACAAATCACACAGTCATGCCAGTCCCAAAGGTAGCACTGTGTCGTTTACTGGCCTTTACCCTGGAGCGACCTACAAGCTATTTCTGGTATATGAAAAACAATCCAGAACCTTTGAACAGTGTAAACACACACTGACGATCAGTAAGTATACATCTCTATTATTTTAAAGGTTTATTTTGTGGGCTTTTTGGGCCTTTATTTATAGACAGGACAGTGGCTAGAGTCAGAAATGGGGAACGAAAGGAGCCACAGGTCTAATTCGAACCTGGGCCGCCCACGTGCACTAACCACTCGGCTAGCAGCGCCCCCTGATCTCTATTTTTACATTAACTATGTTCATTTTTCTCTGTGTCTGCACAGGAATTGTGTAAAAAAAGTAAATATATTAAAGATGTAAATACAGTATGTTTCATTTAGAGCATATTGATAGTGAAAGCCGTCCTGTCATTTCATGTGATTGTTCTTTTTCTTGTTTCTGGAAACAAGAGAAAAAAACCCTTTATTACATATGTTACTCTTTTGTAAAGAGATGCATAGATCTATTTTTTTGTGTTTGAAAATGTTAATTTGTACAATGGGTTGATAATGTGTTGATTTGATTGTACTGAAAGTAAATTTTTCCAATTGTCTCTTGAAGCTCCTCCAGATTTAAGTGCTCACTGTGAGTACTTGGCGGCTGGATATTCAGTACATATCAGCTGGAACAGACCAGCTGGACTGTGGACCGCAGTGGAGGTGAACGTGGCGGAGAAAACTCGCATAGTGAATGACATGGTGGAACATCAAGTCCAAATATCTGGATTCAAACCTGCCAAAACATATAAGGTGTCCGTTGCAGCACTGTCTGGAGATTTAAGGAGTTCTACACCTTTTGTTTTTTCATGTCAAACTGATCCGAGGGGTAAGTGGAGTATGTTTCTCTATATAAAATCACAACTTTCAGTTTGTTTCATTCTCACGTTTTTCTCGTTATTTTGCTCTTTGGTATGACTCTTGTTTAACCCTAACTGGAAAATGAAGACTACATCACTTTGATGTTATAAAAGCTGCTCTGCTGTGTCTGACTTCTGTTACTATTATTCAATCCCGACTTTGCTCTTTGCAGGCGTCATTGCAGGGTCTGTAATGGGTGTGCTACTTTTTGCTGTTCTGGTCTGTATGGCTGCATTCATTCTGTTGAAAAGAGACAAAACATTCATTAGTGGTGCAACAGAAAAGGATAAAAAGCCTAAGTAAGTTTGTGTGTCATCATCTCCTCCTAATGTTAACAACTCTGTCACTGTCCTCTAATGTGGCTAACAAAAGAGAGAATTAGGTCTTGTATAAAATGAATTTCAGAGAGAACTACTGGGTTGAAATACGTTGTATTTAAGATTGATGTATTATTTGTGTATGTCAGTTATCTTACCTTCCATTAGGTACACAAAGTGAAACAGATTCTACTTTTCACATGCTTCTTCCAGAACTGTTCCTGTGGAAAAGTTTCCAGACCACTTCTACCAGTTAAGTGTGGATGACAACAGAGGTTTCAGCCAGGAATATGAGGTATATAAAAGAAGCTTATTGTTGCTGGTTCTTCTTCTCACTCTTTCGGTAAGGCAGTAAAACTCCCTGTTTATAATGCCAACTTTCATGCAGAGCCTCATGCCTGTTGGTACAGAGCAGACACGTAAGGAAGCTAATCTTCTTGACAACAAACCGAGGAATCGCTTCAACAACGTCCTGCCATGTAAGCCAAGCACCAGCAAGACTCGTAAAATTATTCAGATCCACTGACTCATTCTTGTTGTGGGTGTTTGACTTTGTTGTGGTTTGTTGCATTTAAACCATCTTCTGTTATTTTACATCATCCTAGACGACTGGTGTCGGGTGAAGCTCACTTCATCAGATGCCAATGAAACATCTGGCTACATTAATGCCAATTACATGCCTGTAAGTACTACAAGTTGCAAAAAACATCTGTACACCTTCAGTCGGATTCAATCAATGTATGAAGACTTCATGTGATTTGTAGGCATAAAAATACATTTTTTTTATTTTTAATTATTGTATACTGAATGATTTACAGAATTAGCTTCGACACTTCCTCCTCAGGGCTACAACAGCAGCAGAGAGTACATTGCCACTCAGGGCCCTCTGCCCTCCACAGTCAATGATTTCTGGAGAATGATCTGGGAACAGAGAGTGAAAGGTATTGTCATGGTAACCAACTGCAAAGAGAGCGGAAAGGTGGGTCCCTCTGGTATCTTTCAGAATAACTTAAAACCCAATTTTATTCTAGGTGAAATTAAAATGTCGTGAGCGGTTGTAAATTATCTGCTTTTTGTGGCTGACGTGTTTTCAGATAGTTCAAATCTATGTGTGCAACTGTGCACAAATAGTTTCGGTCTTTTGTTGCATAAACCTTAAAACGACTTCATGACCCTTATTTGTTTTTGTATGCATCCTTTTCCTAGACTAAGTGTGAACAATACTGGCCTGGAGACAGCAAACCTCACATGTATGGAGAGCTGGTGGTCACCATCAGATATGAGCAGAAGGAGCTTTTCTGGATATTAAGGGAATTTACAGTAAAACATGTACGGAACATGGGTGAAATATTTGTGATGGAACTTAATAGGTTGGATGCACATTTGACCTTCTAGAGGAGGAAGTTTGACCATTTTGATATATATTCTATTGTTGTTGTATTGGTCCACAACGTAGACTTTCAGTACTTTAATTCCTCCATGCAATTCTCCTTGACAGAAGAACAGCTCAGAGGAACGCACAGTGAAACATTTTCACTTCACCGCCTGGCCTGATCATGGAGTTCCACAGGGCACAGAGGTCCTGATCCAGTTCAGAGGACTGGTGAGACAGCACATAGAGAGAGAAGGGACTGGAGCACCTACTGTGGTCCACTGCAGGTACAAAATGAGAGTTTATTTTCATGGCTAAAAATCCACTCATCTGAATATCTTAATACAACTATTTGTTATTGTATTTGACAGCTTCTGTAACATAATTTGAATATAAGTTGTGAGTGACATGAAGTTAAGTATCTACTTTGTACCATCTGGACTACCTGATGATGAACACACCTGGTCTTTGTTTCAGTGCCGGAGTAGGGAGGACAGGCACCATTATTGCCCTGGATGTCATGCTTCAGCAGCTTGAGAAAGAGAGAGCCGTTGGCATCAACGCTTTCGTGCACAAGATGAGGCTGAGTCGACCACACATGGTGCAAACAGAGGTAAATATATTTGTGTTGTTTCAGGCTCAGATACCACTTCCTTTGTTAGCAACCCAGGCAAGGTTACATTTATAACCTAGCCCCATATAAGCTTTACCCATTCTTACACAAACATTATTGTGTACATTTTCAATCAAGATAATGAAGGCAACACTTTACTAAAGTTTACTAATGTTTATTTACATAATTTTCCACTACAAAGGCATGTAGTGGATTGTGGTTAACAACTGAACACTGGTAAAAAAGCACATAAGGAGAGAGGCAGATTACTTTGTGGTTATAGCACCTTCACAAAAAGCTGTGCTTCTAAAATGACCAGCTGTTGTCGTTTCCCTTTTTTTTCAGTCCCAGTATGTTTTCTTGCACCAGTGCATCATGGACAGTCTGCAGCAAAATGAGAGGACTGCAGAGAACATATATGAGAATGATGACATGATATATGCCAATGCCACTGCACTCCAGCAGTTTCACAAAAGTAGCAACGTTTAACTATATTGTTGTCTTTTGTGCAACTCATTTAAAAGCTAATGTCAAATCCTACATGCAAAGTTTGGTTTGAAATTTTAAATGACAAAAGTTTATGTTGTATATTTACTGTAAATGCATAGCACACTTAAGATTTTAATTTGTTTTCTTATCACCTCTTTAATGTGTAATATTAGAATGACTATCATGTGGGTGAAAAACACTCCTGAGGACAGAAGAATGTTTTAAAATTACATTCAGAAACAATGATCTCAACTTGTACAAGACATGAAATATTTTTTATTAGAAAAAAATAAAATAAATAAATAGTACAGACTTTATTGCACAGCATCAGCTGGTCTCAAACTGTCAAAGATTAGAACAGTTTTTGGTTCCAGTGTTTGTCCTTCAAGGGTCAACATTTACAACTTCTTGGCTTCCTGAAACAGACAGCACACCTGCTACACTCACAACCTCCTCAGCGATTTTTTACTTGGTGGGTTTCTGCTTCTAGAGACTTTGAGGAAGTTAGCAATGATGAGTTTCTGTCTGGCCTTTAATGCCTCAGGGTTGATATCTGGCTCTGCACGTTGCTTGCCGGGATGCAGGGGCTCGATTTGACCAGCGTCAGACGGTGGAGGCACGGAGAACTTTTTAGCGATGTTGTGCAGAACACTGCACGCCTTGATAATATTGGACTTCTTGGCCAAAGAGTTTTCTTGTGCAAAACAGAGTTGATTTAAACACCTGAAGCGCCTCTTCATGGAGCCGAGCGTTGTTCGCATGACGTCGTGGATCTTTGTGTGGGCCTCGTTGAAGCTGGTCTCGCTGTCATTTGCAGGTTCTGCCACAGGAGTCAGGACATGTTTGCTTAAGTTGTAGCCTTTCCCTGCTTCAAGAAAGACAAGAAAGAGAATGAAATTAATCTAACATCTGGACAACAAAACCCTAATATATATGATGAACCTTAAAATGTAATGAAGTCTTTACATCGAGTTGAGAAACTTAATCAGAACCTACACGAGAAACATCAATCACCAAACTAGAAATGAGTGTTTGTTAGAATGTAATGAAGAAAAATGTGCAATCTCTGAAACACAGATGACATTGTAAATACTGTATATTAAGAACTGCACAGCTGTTATGTAGGGTTCTATTCAAAGGATGTAAGGGGCATAGTATGTGTTTTATGTTGTAATATGACTTACTCAGAATAAATTATAAAAGTTACTTGTAAAAAATGTTTTCTCATGTATGGTTTAATATCTTACCAATAACCCAAAAAGGTCCGTGTATTTCCTCCTCCATTTCCCTCCCTTTGAAAGACGACTCCCACAGCTCCTGCTCAAACGTGCTGCCTACACAACACTTTTCGACACTCAGTATGTTTCCGTCAGAGTCACATATGATCTGGCTCACCACAGATGTGTACCCCAAGGTGTTGATAAAACCCCTGAATGTGTCCGTCTCATAAGGGGAGGCTCTGATCTTGAAGTGAGCCGCGCCAAGGACGCCCAGCACATTGGGGATCCTACATAATTTCTCTGTCTTGAACGCGACCTTCTTTTTGGCCTCATGGGTTAGTGGGAAAGAGATGAACTGGTCGGACATGCCTGCGATGACTCCGGATACAGTGCTCATGATCGTGAGACAGTCCGTCTGACACTGTCCGACCCTCTGCAGGACACAGGGTGAGGGGACTCCGTGTGCGTAATAGTTCAACGCCACCATAACCATCTCGTCCACGGACAGCGTTGGGTTCTTCAGAGCCAACGTTTTCATGCGGATGCGCGCAGCGTCCAGAATGAAACTGATGCAGGGTCTGCTGAGGTTGAACACCTGGAACAAAGCTTCATCGTCAAACTCATCAAAACAGCTCGGAGCCCCGAAGTCCGCTCCGCCGTTTCCGAGGAGCTCCTCCTGGACCGCGAGCCACACTGGAAGAGCGAAGGACATATCTTATACTGCTGCAGTTTGTTAAATACAAGAAAACACAGAGATTACAGAATGACTGAGAAGAAAATAAACAACAGCGAGAGGCATGGACGCACTCTCTTCTGATTTAGAGAGTACTCAAAGCTTTACTATGTCGCCACCCAGTGGACAGGATTACCAACTACAAACTGAACGCTAAAAGAAATAAAATTAGAAACATCATTCCGTAATTCAACTGCAGGCCTATTTACATTGAAAATGTACTTTAGTTGGAAAGTAGTTTTGGAGAAATAAAAAGCACATACAATTGACACAACTTAAATAAAATAACGTAATTTCCTGTCAACATTTAAATTACAGCAGTATACTCACAGTTTGCAGATAATCGTGATGTTCATCAATAGTTTTTCATTTTACTCTCAGCCAATTCCATATCGTCTAGCCTTATCCTATCAAACTCTTCGTGCCTCATGATCATCAAAGTAATAAACCAGCCATTTGGTTATTTGAATTAATCAAGAAGTCAAACAATTACCAGGCGAGTCCTCTCGCATGTCACCGCAAACTGCAACCTGTTGATCGTTATTCCATTCATGGATATTGGCTGGCTCCAAAAAATTCCTTGCATGTCTCCTGAAGGTGTCATACTGGAAAATCCAGAGCTGTATTGCCTTACATATCTGTGGTTAAGCAAAAATAAAATACAAAGCTGCAGTAAAAGCGCATTCTTTGCTGAATGAATACAGATTGAAACATTAGAAAGAAGAGACCTACCTTCGCCAGCTGGAAGAATGAAGCACCTGTGAAGTTTGTAGCAGCAGTTAACTCCAGATTTCCCACAAGGGTGCTGGCAACAATAGGCTGGCTCTGCCACTTTCTGGAATAGTTGCAGTTGTGGCAAAGCTGTTTAAAAGCCACAAGTGTGCCCGTGCTTTGCCGCTGGACCTCCGACTGCCTCTTACACACGGGACAGGTTTCAAATAGTTCCCTCAGACACGAGTCAAACACAATGTATTTTGTGTCACCATAAGTGACCAGCGGCCCAACTGTACTGCAATAAAGAAATAAGAAAAATACAATTTAATTGGACTTCACAAAGAGGTTTTTATAGTTATTTTTGATCAGCTGATAAATTGCAGTAACAAGTTACTCAAAATAATGTACTTACAACATTTCAGACTCCTCTATAATAGAGTCGCCAGGGTTAAAGGTTGATATAATAAGCTCTGCTTCTGCTGATGTCTCTCCCTCTCCCTCTTCTTCCTCTTTCACCTCCAGAAGACGGGGCCTCTTACTTGGTCTGAAAGCGTTGCCGTCTGTAGGTGTTGATGATAGGGGAAGTTGTGGACCAGTGCAAACAGGCTCTGTGCCAGTACTGACCTGAAACAATGTAGCCTGTGTGCCTAAGAATAAAAGAAAACAAAAAAGTTTGTTTTGTTTAATTTGTTCATTGTCACTCTAATAACTAGTGTCTTTAATTAAAAAATAATAATGAATATATATATATTACAGTGTTTCTTCTAGGTTTAGAGCTCGGGGGGGGAGTCGGACACTGCCACAGATACTAAAAGGGATCATGGTGTTCATGTGTTTCTCTAAATGAGAGCAGTCAATACAGCAACTGAACAATTATTTGAACCTGTAACGGTCTGTCCAGCTTAGTTTTTGTTCCTGCGTCTTCTGTTTCTGAGCACCCCTGAATGTATCTCTCATTGTCTGAGCACCCCTGAATGCAGCATGCTCAAGGCGCATCCCCTGAGTAACGGCAGTGAGAGACATGCCCAGAGAAGTCTGAAGTAAGCTAAGCGGACTACTGTATTTTCTGATGGTTCTTACGGACTTTTTATTATTGCGTGTGTGTCCGTCAGACACAACCACACACACCTAGGCCTCTGCTGGTGAGAGTGTGCTCACCTGTGTGCGCGCATGTGTTTGCATCGGGGCGAAACTCCGGCATGCACGACTTATAGAGCAGAGGAGAATTGTAAACGTGCGACCATGCAGAGACAGAAATGACATGCCATCGTGTAAGTAAGATAAATAACATAAGGCTGTTTAGTTTGTATAATAAAAGGTATGAAAGGTATCCTTATGACTTCTGTTGTGATCTGGCATTATATAGAAAATATAATGAACTTGACCATCAAGGGGGGTGGGCCGCCCCCCTAATTTAATGGTAGGGGAAACACTGTATATATACACGCACAGACACATCTTCTTACCTTTGCTTTTCATATGGCAGTCCTTTAGTGTACCCCAAGACAACTGTGTGCCGACAGATGACCCATTTGGAGGTACTGTGCCCTCTGAGACTTGGTGTGGGGAATCCGTCTGACACCCAGCATCATTGAATCTTGATGAACTCATTTGGATACTGGAACTTGTGGTCTGTAATGTACTCTGAAGACAGAAAATAGCAGATTTTGCATGGCTTTTTAGCATGAATCAGAAATATTATGTATTCTTTTCCACAACCAAATAAGAAGGTCACGTTATTCCATTCATGGATATTGGCTGGCTCCAAAAAATTCCTTGCATGTCTCCTGAAGATGTCATACTGGAAAATCCAGAGTTGTAATGCCTTACATACCTATCGTTAAGCAAGAATAAAATACAAAGCTGCAGTAAAAGTGCATTCTTTGCTGAATGAATATAGATTGAAACATTAGAAAGAAGAGACCTACCTTCTCCAGCTGGAAGAATGAAGCACCTGTGAAGTTTGTAGCTGCAGATAACTCCAGATTTCCCACAAGGGTGCTGGCAACAATGGGCTGGCTCTGCCACTTTCTGGAATAGTTGCAGTTGTGGCAAAGCTGTTTAAAAGCCACAAGTGTGCCCGTGCTTTGCCGCTGGACCTCCGACTGCCTCTTACACACGGGACAGGTTTCAAATAGTTCCCTCAGACACGAGTCAAACACAATGTATTTTGTGTCACCATAAGTGACCAGCGGCCCAACTGTACTGCAATAAAGAAATAAGAAAAATACAATTTAATTGGACTTCACAGAGATTTTATAGTTATTTTTGATCAGCTGATAAATTGCAGTAACAAGTTACTCAAAATACTGTACTTACGTCATTTCAGACTCCTCTTTAATAGAGTCGGCAGGTTTAAAGGTTGATCTAATAGACTCAGCTTCTGTTGATCTGCAATAAAGAAATAAGAAAAATACAATTTAATTGGAGTTCACAAAGAGGTGTTTATAGTTATTTTTTGATCAGCTGATAAATTGCAGTAACAAATTACTCAAAATACTGTACTTACAACATTTCAGACTCCTCTTTAATAGAGACGCCAGGGTTAAAGGTTGATCTAATAGACTCAACTTCGGTTGATCTGCAATACAGAAATAAGAAAAATACAATTTAATTGGACTTCACAAAGAGGTTTTAATATTTATTTTGATCAGCTGATAAATTGCAGTAACAAGTTACTCAAAACAATGTACTTACGACATTTCAGACTCCTCTTTAATAGAGTCGCCAGGGTTAAAGGTTGATATAATAAGCTCTGCTTCTGCTGATGTCTCTCCCTCTCCCTCTTCTTCCTCTTTCACCTCCAGAAGACGGGGCCTCTTACTTGGTCTGGAAGCGTTGCTGTCTGTAGGTGTTGATGATAGGGCAAGTTGTGGACCAGTGCAAACAGGCTCTGTGCCAGTACTGACCTGAAACAATGTAGCCCGTGTGCCTAAGAATAAAAGAAAACAAAAAAGATTGTTTTGTTTAATTTGTTCATTGTCACTCTAATAACTAGTGTCTTCAACTATTATATAATGAAACAAAATATAATAATATATACACATATACGCATGCACAGACACATCTTCCTACCTTTGCTTTTCATATGGCAGTCCCTTCCCGACTGACACCCAGCATCATTGAATCTTGATGAACTCATTTGGACACTGGAACTTGTGGTCTGTAATGTACTCTGAAGACAGAAAATAGCAGATTTAGCATGGCTTTTTAACATGAATCAGAAACATTATGTATTCTTTTCCACAGCTAAATAAGCAGGTCACACGTGTGTCATTCTAAACCTAAAGTACCTGCTGCACACACCTGTACGTGTCTTGACTCATTGTATTTATAAATCTATCCTGAACACCCCTAACACTTATATCACTGAGGGTGGTTAACAATGCTATACCTACAGTTTTAGGTGAAAGTTTGTAAATAGCCAAGCAGTGCTCAAATTTCGAAACAATAGCACTACTTGGCATGATAGCCAAGACAGACAGCTGAGCGCCATCTAGCGGCTTTCAATCGAAATAAAAAGACGACAAATGAAGCGCACTTACAGGTTGTGATTGTGAACTTCCATCGTGGCCAAAAAGACTAGGAACTGCACCTTCTTTCAGAATCAGTTTTTTTGCAAATCCCAACTTGAATTTTGTCCAGTTAGCAAAGCAGTCCTCAATGAAATGCCGGGAACACAGGAAGATGTTGGGGCTGTACTGCTGAGGAACAGTCCTAAACATAAACGACAGCCACATGTTCCTCAAACTGGCACTGCTCGGCAGGCCATGCAGAGAAGAGTTGGAGTCGCATTTGAAGAAACAGCGTCTGGTTGTCATGTCTGCATGCAAACAGTTACGAAGTAGCAATGAGAACTTGTTGTTGTTCTTCCGGTTTTCCAGCAGGCTGCAGGCTGTACAGTGTAATGCTGCCCTCCACAGTCTAGGAGTGTGTACTTAAGTCATATCTTCAGATTCAAGCCAGTGGCGAGTAAGAATCTAAGGGTGCGTTCGAATTGTCCCTCCTATCTCCTTTCACTATCCACTTTACCTTAACCCCGGGGAAAACGTCATGAGGTTAAGGAAAGATGTTAGGAGAAATCATAAGCAGCAGAGGTCGTGGGAGGGGCCCTGAAGCAGGAGACAGGGAGTGGGCAAATGAACTGAATCTGTTCTTCAATAGATTTGATTCTGCTCCCACCCCCACCCACCAGAGCGCAGACCAGCCCGCTTCCCAGACACTCCATCTGAGTACCCTGAGTACCCTGCCACCCCCCTCAACAGCCCTCTCCTTCTCCTCCTCCTCAGACGACCCCCCAACAACCCCCTCCTCTTCTTCCTCCTCCTCCTCCGACGGCCTCTCCATAACAGCTGATCAGGTGAGAAGCCAGCTGAGGAAGATCAAGGCGAGGAAGGCCACAGGTCCCGACGGCATCAGCTCCAGACTCCTGAAGGACCGTGCAGACCAGCTCTGTGAGGTCCTTCTGCACATCTTCAACCTGAGCCTGAGACTGGAGAGGGTACCGACTCTGTGGAAGACTTCCTGCGTGGTGCCAGTCCCAAAGACATCTCCCCCCCAGGGAGCCTAACCACTTCAGACCTGTGGCCCTCACCTCTCACCTGATGAAGACCATGGAGAGGATCGTCCTCAACATCCTCCACCCCCTGGTGACTTCAAATCTGGATCCTCTGCAGTTCGCCTACCAGCCGAACATCGGGGTGGATGACGCCGTCATCTACCTGCTGCAGAGATCCTGGACTCACCTGGAGAACACCGGTAGCACTGTGAGGGTCATGTTCTTTGACTTCTCCAGTGCCTTCAACACCATCCAGCCTGCACTGCTCAGGGGGGGAGCTAGAGAGGGCGGGAGTGGACTGTCACCTGGCTGCATGGACAACGGACTACCTCACCAACAGACCACAGTACGTGAGGCTTCAGGGCTGTGAGTCTGACATGCACAGGGGCCCTGCAGGGGACAGTTCTCTCCCCTTTTCTCTTCACCCTGTACACCTCGGACTTCTGTTACAACTCTGGGAGCTGCCACCTGCAGAAGTTCTCCGATGACACAGCCATCGTGGGGTGTGTGTCTAAGGGGGGCGAACAGGAGTGCAGGCAGGTCATCATGGACTTTGTCGACTGGAGTGAGCTCAACCACCTTCAGCTCAACGCCAGCAAGACAAAGGAGATGGTGATTGACTTCCGCAGGGCAACACCGACGTCCTGTACAAGAAGGGCCAATGTCGACTGCACCTGCTGAGGCGACTGAGGTCCTTTGGAGTGTGCAGGACTCTGCTACGGACATTTTATGACACTGTGGTGGCGTCTGCACTTTTCTATGCAGTGGTCTGCTGGAGAGGAGGGAGCACAGAGAGAGACAGGAAGAGACTGAAGAGACTGAACAGACTGGTCAGGAGGGCCAGTTCTGTCTTGGACTGTCCTCTGGACTCTGTAGAGGAGGTGGGTGAGAGGAGGATGTTAGTGAAGCTGACATCCATGATGGACAACCCCTCTCACCCCCTGCATGACACTGTGGGGGCCCTGAGCAGCTCCTTCAGCAGCAGACTCAGACACCCACCCTGCAAGACAGAGCGCTACCGCAGGTCGTTCATCCCATCTGCAGTCAGACTGTTTAATCAGACTGTTTAACAGCATCACCACCTCATGCTACACACTGTGTGTGTTTTTAATAACAAGTTACTGTGTAATTTTACATTTACATTATTGTATTTTTTTATTTAAATTATGTAAATATGTTTGATCTGTTTTTTATTTTTTATAAGTATATTCCCGTCCCCTGTTTTCTGGAGCTGCTGTAATGCACAAATTTCCCCCACGGGCGATCAATAAAGTTTATCTTTATCTTTAAAGGACTTAGGGAAAGGCGATCTCGTTGCTCTGACTATCCGACCACAATTTCCATTAGCAGACGTCATTAAATGCGACGGGCCGGCGGAGGTTAATGACGTGGGTGTGCCGTGTTGAAACTACAATGTTCCGAAAATGGACTACAAAAAACGCATCTAAAAAAACTTTCCCCTGTGCCTTCTTACCGGTGAAATAATCCTAATTACCACCATGTCCCGTGTGTAAGAGGCAGTCGGAGGTCCAGCGGCAAAGCACGGGCACACTTGTGGCTTTTAAACAGCTTTGCTACAACTGCAACTATTCCAGAAAGTGGCAGAGCCAGCCCATTGTTGCCAGCACCCTTGTGGGAAATCTGGAGTTATCTGCAGCTACAAACTTCACAGGTGCTTCATTCTTCCAGCTGGAGAAGGTAGGTCTCTTCTTTCTAATGTTTCAATCTATATTCATTCAGCAAAGAATGCGCTTTTACTGCAGCTTTGTATTTTATTTTTGCTTAACCATAGATAAGGCAATACAGCTCTGGATTTTCCAGTATGACACCTTCAGGAGACATGCAAGGAATTTTTTGGAGCCAGCCAATATCCATGAATGGAATAACGATCAACAGGTTGCAGTTTGCGGTGACATGCGAGAGGACTCGCCTGGTAATTGTTTGACTTCTTGATTAATTCAAATAACCAAATGGCTGGTTTATTACTTTGATGATCATGAGGCACGAAGAGTTTGATAGGATAAGGCTAGACGATATGGAATTGGCTGAGAGTAAAATGACAAAATATTGATGAACATCACGATTATCTGCAAACTGTGAGTATACTGCTGTAATTTAAATGTTGACAGGAAATTACGTTATTTTATTTAAGTTGTGTCAATTGTATGTGCTTTTTATTTCTCCAAAACTACTTTAGAACTAAAGTACATTTTCAATGTGAATAGGCCTGCAGTTGAATTACGGAATGATGTTTCTAATTTTATTTCTTTTAGCGTTCAGTTTGTAGTTGGTATTCCTGTCCACTGGGTGGCGACATAGTAAAGCTTTGAGTACTCTCTAATTCAGTGGTTCTCAAACTTTTTAGACTGCGTACCACCTCTGGAAATATTTGGCCAGTATCACCATTATGGTAAAATACACTGTAGGCCTATTTCAACACACATTTCATGCAAGAGGCAAATTAATTCATAAAAAGAATATTATTTATTATTGACTGCTGGCAGCCACACTGTAGGCCTACTAAGGGCTAGTGTTAGAACTTGCACACACAAAAGTGCAGAACAATAAAAATGACAACTTCCCAAGTTCCGCTGTCCGTACATGCATCAAAACTGAAGCTCCGTTTTAAAAATGTAAATGTACAGCTGCTGGCTGTTTGCTGCGGATTGTGTGCTGAACTCCAATAAATAACAGAATATCTGTTAATTTGGGCCTACAGCTGCTTGCTGTTTCAGTACTGAACTATAACAGAATATCGAGTGGAACTTTTCAAAACGCGAGGTGTACTCCTGTTGTTGTTTATGTCTGTGAGCAGATTAAAGTTGTTTGTTGTAAAAACTAGATTAATTTAGAGGGGAAAACACATGTGATATAAATACAACTCAATAGATACAAGCTAGATAAGAGTATGACAAAAATAAAAAACAAGTGGTTTTACGCTGAACGGATTTTATTTTTTATGTTGTGGAGATTTCTTTGCGTACCACCACAGGGAGCCCACGTACCACCGGTGGTACGCGTACCATAGTTTGAGAACCACTGCTCTAAATCATAAAGAAGAAGAGAGTGCGTCCATGCCTCTCGCTGTTGTTTATTTTCTTCTCAGTCATTCTGTAATCTCTGTGTTTTCTTGTATTTAACAAACTGCAGCAGTATAAGATATGTCCTTCGCTCTTCCAGTGTGGCTCGCGGTCCAGGAGGAGCTCCTCGGAAACGGCGGAGCGGACTTCGGGGCTCCGAGCTGTTTTGATGAGTTTGACGATGAAGCTTTGTTCCAGGAGTTCAACCTCAGCAGACCCTGCATCAGTTTCATCCTGGACGCTGCTCGCATCCACATAAAGAAGTTGGCTCTGAAGAACCCAAGATCAGAGCCTCCCCTTATGAGACGGACACATTCAGCCGTTTTGTCAACACCTTGGGGTACACATCTGTGGTGAGCCAGATCATATGTGACTCTGACGGAAACATACTGAGAGTCGAAAAGTGTTGTGTAGGCAGCACGTTTGAGCAGGAGCTGTGGGAGTCGTCTTTCAAAGGGAGGGAAATGGAGGAGGAAATACACGGACCTTTGTGGGTTATTGGTAAGATATTAAACCATACATGAGAACATTTTTTTTACATTTTATTATTATTTATAATTTATTCTGAGTAAGTCATATTACAACATACAACACATACTATGTCCCTTACATCCTTTGAATAGAACCCTACATAACAGCTGTGCAGTTCTTAATATACAGTATTTACAATGTCATCTGTGTTTCAGAGATTGCACATTTTTCTTCATTACATTTTAAGGTTCATCATATATATTAGGGTTTTGTTGTCCAGATGTTAGATTAATTTAATTCTCTTTCTTGTCTTTCTTAAAGCAGGGAAAGGCTACAACTTAAGCAAACATGTCCTGACTCCTGTGGCAGAACCTGCAAATGACAGCGAGACCAGCTTCAACGAGGCCCACACAAAGATCCACGACGTCATGCGAACAACGCTCGGCTCCATGAAGAGGCGCTTCACGTGTTTAAATCAACTTGGTTTTGCACAAGAAAACTCTTTAGGCAAAAAGTCCAATATTATCAAGGCGTGCAGTGTCCTGCACAACATCGCTAAAAAGTTCTCCGTGCCTCCACCATCTGACGCTGGTCAAATCGAGCCCCTGCATCCCGGCAAGCAACGTGCAGAGCCAGATATCAACCCTGAGGCATTAAAGGCCAGACAGAAACTCATCATTGCTAACTTCCTCAAAGTCTCTAGTACCAGAAACCCACCAAGTAAAGGAATCGCTGAGGAGGTTGTGAGAGTAGCAGGTGTGCTTTCTGTTTCAGGAAGCAAAGAAGTTGTAAATGTTGACCCTTGAAGGACAAACACTGGAACCAAAAACTGTTCTAATCTTTGACAGTTTGAGACCAGCTGATGCTGTGCAATAAAGTCTGTACTATTTATTTATTTTATTTTTTTCTAATAAAAAATATTTCATGTCTTGTACAAGTTGAGATCATTGTTTCTGAATGTAATTTTAAAACATTCTTCTGTCCTCAGGAGTGTTTTTCACCCACATGATAGTCATTCTAATATTACACATTAAAGAGGTGACAAGAAAACAAATTAAAATCTTAAGTGTGCTATCCATTTACAGTAAATATACAACATAAACTTTTGTCATTTAAAATTTCAAACCAAACTTTGCATGTAGGATTTGACATTAGCTTTTAAATGAGTTGCACAAAAGACAACAATATAGTTAAGCGTTGCTACTTGTGTGAAACTGCAGGAGTGCAGTGGCATTGGCATATATCATGTCATCATTCTCATATATGTCCTCTGCAGTCCTCTCGTTTTCCTGCAGACTGTCCATGATGCACTGGTGCAAGAAAACATACTGAGACTGAAAAAAAAGGGAAACAACAACAGCTGGTCATTTTAGAAGCACAGCTTTTTGTGAAGGTGCTATAACCACAAAGTAATCTGCCTCTCTCATGTGCTTTTTTTTAATTTTTTTTTTACCAGTGTTCAGTTGTTAACCACAATCCACTACATGCCTTTGTAGTGGAAAATTATGTAAATAAACATTAGTAAACTTTAGTAAAGTGTTGCCTTCATTATCTTGATTGAAAATGTACACAATAATGTTTGTGTAAGAATGGGGGAGGGGGTAAAGCTTATATGGGGCTAGGTTATAAATGTAACCTTGCCTGGGTTGCTAACAAAGGAAGTGGTATCTGAGCCTGAAACAACGCGAATATATTTACCTTTGTTTGCACCATGTGTGGTCGACTCAGCCTCATCTTGTACACGAAAGCGTTGATGCTAACGGCCCTCTCTTTCTCAAGCTGCTGAAGCATGACATCCAGGGCAATAATGGTGCCTGTCCTCCCTACTCCGGCACTGAAAGAAAGACCAGGTGTGTTCATCATCAGGTAGTCCAGATGGTACAAAGTAGATACTTAACTTCATGTCACTCACAATTTATATTCAAATTATGTTACAGAAGCTGTCAAATACAATAACAAATAGTTGTATTAAGACATTCAGATGAGTGGATTTTTAGCCATGAAAATAAACTCTCATTTTGTACCTGCAGTGGACCACAGTAGGTGCTCCAGTCCCTTCTCTCTCTATGTGCTGTCTCACCAGTCCTCTGAACCGGATCAGGACCTCTGTGCCCTGTGGAACTCCATGATCAGGCCAGGCGGTGAAGTGAAAATGTTTCACTGTGCGTTCCTCTGAGCTGTTCTTCTGTCAAGGAGAATTGCATGGAGGAATTAAAGTACTGAAAGTCTACGTTGTGGACCAATACAACAACAATAGAATATATATCAAAATGGTCAAACATCCTCCTCTAGAAGGTCAAATGTGCATCCAACCTATTAAGTTCCATCACAAATATTTCACCCATGTTCCGTACATGTTTTACTGTAAATTCCCTTAATATCCAGAAAAGCTCCTTCTGCTCATATCTGATGGTGACCACCAGCTCTCCATACATGTGAGGTTTGCTGTCTCCAGGCCAGTATTGTTCACACTTAGTCTAGGAAAAGGATGCATACAAAAACAAATAAGGGTCATGAAGTCGTTTTAAGGTTTATGCAACAAAAGACCGAAACAATTTGTGCACAGTTGCGCACATAAATTTGAACTATCTGAAAACACGTCAGCCACAAAAGCAGATCATTTACAACCGCTCACGACATTTTAATTTCACCTAGAATAAAATTGGGTTTTAAGTTATTCTGAAAAATACCAGAGGACCCACCTTTCCGCTCTCTTTGCAGTTGGTTACCATGACAATACCTTTCACTCTCTGTTCCCAGATCATTCTCCAGAAATCATTGACTGTGGAGGGCAGAGGGCCCTGAGTGGCAATGTACTCTCTGCTGCTGTTGTAGCCCTGAGGAGGAAGTGTCGAAGCTAATTCTGTAAATCATTCAGTACACAATAATTAAAAATAAAAAAAATGTATTTTTATGCCTACAAATCACATGAAGTCTTCATACATTGATTGAATCCGACTGAAGGTGTACAGATGTTTTTTGCAACTTGTAGTACTTACAGGCATGTAATTGGCATTAATGTAGCCAGATGTTTCATTGGCATCTGATGAAGTGAGCTTCACCCGACACCAGTCGTCTAGGATGATGTAAAATAACAGAAGATGGTTTAAATGCAACAAACCACAACAAAGTCAAACACCCACAACAAGAATGAGTCAGTGGATCTGAATAATTTTACGAGTCTTGCTGGTGCTTGGCTTACATGGCAGGACGTTGTTGAAGCGATTCCTCGGTTTGTTGTCAAGAAGATTAGCTTCCTTACGTGTCTGCTCTGTACCAACAGGCATGAGGCTCTGCATGAAAGTTGGCATTATAAACAGGGAGTTTTACTGCCTTACCGAAAGAGTGAGAAGAAGAACCAGCAACAATAAGCTTCTTTTATATACCTCATATTCCTGGCTGAAACCTCTGTTGTCATCCACACTTAACTGGTAGAAGTGGTCTGGAAACTTTTCCACAGGAACAGTTCTGGAAGAAGCATGTGAAAAGTAGAATCTGTTTCACTTTGTGTACCTAATGGAAGGTAAGATAACTGACATAAACAAATATAACATCAATCTTAAATACAACGTATTTCAACCTAGTAGTTCTCTCTGAAATTCGTTTTATACAAGACCTAATTCTCTCTTTTTTTAGCCACATTAGAGGACAGTGACAGAGTTGTTAACATTAGGAGGGGATGATGACACACAAACTCACATAGGCTTTTCATCCTTTTCTGTGGGACCACCAATGAATGTTTTGTTTCTCCTGTTGGAGGAAGAAATGATGCTCAGTAATACAGCCTGATTTAGTACAGTTCAGACAGAGATTCATTTTTCTATAGTCACTAAGGCAGAGCCAACCTGATAATATCTGGTCTTTTCAACAGAATGAATGCAGCCATACAGACCAGAACAGCAAAAAGTAGCACACCCATTACAGACCCTGCAATAACTCCTGCAAAGAGCAAAGTCGGGATTGAATAATAGTAACAGAAGTCAGACACAGCAGAGCAGCTTTTATAACATCAAAGTGATGTAGTCTTCATTTTCCAGTTAGGGTTAAACAAGAGTCATACCAAGAGCAAAATAACGAGAAAAACGTGAGAATGAAACAAACTGAAAGTTGTGATTTTATACAGAGAAACATACTCCACTTACCCCTCGGATCAGTTTGACATGAAAAAACAAAAGGTGTAGAACTCCTTAAATCTCCAGACAGTGCTGCAACAGACACCTTGTATGTTTTGGTAGGTTTGAATTCAGATATTTGGACTTGATGTTCCACCATGTTATTCACTATGTGAGTTTTCTCCGCCACGTTCACCTCCACTGCGGTCCACAGTCCAGCTGGTCTGTTCCAGCTGATATGTATTGAATATCCAGCCGCCAAGTACTCACAGTGAGCACTTAAATCTGGAGGAGCTTCAAGAGACAATTGGAAAGATTTACTTTCAGTACAATCAAATCAACACATTATCAACCCATTGTACAAATTAAAATTTTCAAACACAAAAAAATAGATCTATGCATCTCTTTACAAAAGAGTAACATATGTAATAAAGGGTATTTTTCTCTAGTGTCTTGATCTTGTTTCCAGAAACAAGAAAAAGAACAATCACATGAAATGACAGGACGGCTTTCACTATCAATATGCTCGAAATGAAACATACTGTATTTACATCTTTAATATATTTACTTTATTTTTACACAATTCCTGTGCAGTCACAGAGAAAAATGAACATAGTTAATGTAAAAATAGAGATCAGGGGGCGCTGCTAGCCGAGTGGTTAGTGCGTGTGGGCGGCCCAGGTTCGAATTAGACCTGTGGCTCCTTTCGTTCCCCATTTCTGACTCTAGCCACTGTCCTATCTATAAATAAAGGCCCAAAAAGCCCCAAAAATAAACCTTTAAAATAATAGAGACGTATACTTACTGATTGTCAGTGTGTGTTTACACTGTTCAAAGGTTCTGGATTGTTTTTCATATACCAGAAATAGCTTGTAGGTCGCTCCAGGGTAAAGGCCAGTAAACGACACAGTGCTACCTTTGGGACTGACATGACTGTGTGATTTGTTAGATGCCGTTGCATTTGAGAACAAGCCTTCAACCGTTCCTGTGATCGATGAGTTCGTAACTTTCCAGTCTACAGCTGCACAGTCTATGGCTGAAATGAAAGACAAAATCATTTCAGAGCATTACCTTCAGCTGTTTAAGCCTGCATAAAATAACATTTAAAAGAACCCTAACTCAGGTTTTCAAGAACCAGCACATGTAGGTACTTTTTATTCACAGAACCAAATCTATAACAATAGTTGTGTATTTACTTGTCACTGTGAAGTCTTCAAAAGCAGAGCTGTTGTGTCCAAAGAACTTTGTGGTCACCCTGAATGTATACTCTGTGCCAGGCTTGAGATGGAGGATTTCTTTTAACACCACATCCTCGAGTACTTCTGGATGGTGATCTTCCCCATTTATCTGGAGAGAGTAGGTCCAGTCTTTCCTCACATTCTCCCACACAAGGGTTATTCTGTCCACAGAGCGTTCAGTCACGTTCACTAAAGCCACTGGGGAGGGAACTGATAAAAGAAAAGATTTCACTCATCTTCAGTAAAAAAGAAAAAAGTGGATCTCTGGTCACAGACTTGAGTCAACACATTGAAGACAGATTAATTCACTGTCGATCTTTCTATCTTCTTCCATTTTCAAACACAACGGGCTGACTGAAATCATCTCATGCCCCACTTGAGAGCTCTCAGTTTTTGTGTCTCTCTGAAACACTGAAGATTATCTTATTTCCATTAAAGCTCCTTTCTGGAACTTTAGTGTTGAGTGTTTTGGCAATCCCTGTGGACAAAATGATACTTCTTATCTCTGACTTTGTCCTGTGAATGTGTACGTAGTCTTTTCTGAGGTAAAATCTCATCATCTCACTTTGTTTGACACCTACCCCATGACAGCGGTTAAAAAATATCTCAGAAATAATCAGTTTTCTGGTTGATGATCTTGTGTGATTTTTGTGGGTCTCATAGAGGCATCAGTATTAATTTCAACCTGTTTAAAACCATCTATAAACTCCTCGAGGGAGCTTTAAAATATTTCACTCAAGGATTTCGTCCGCTTCAGATATAAAGTGTACACATTTTCTGTGTCACATAGAGCTAAAGTATACAGAAGAAATATGAAACAACTTTTAAAAATATAAACAGCCACATTAAGGAATAGGTAAAAGTCTAATAAGTGGATATAAAGTTACCCAGCTTGCTCTTGTTGTAAGTCTATACAAAGACATGGAACACTTACCCGTGGCTGCAGTGTAGTTAAGTCCGCTGCTTCTGACATCATGAAACAGAGCAAAGAGACTGAAATCATATTTAGTCCCGCTCATAAGTCCAATGATTGTTTTGGTCACAAACTCTTGGTCTTTTGATGCTGTGACGTTTTCCTCAAGTTGATTGTGCACAAGTACATAGTTGAGGATGTTTTCCACTTTTTTCCACCGCAGAGTAATGTTGGTCTCTGTTTGTTCAACTGATATAAGTTCTTCTGTGTTTGGAGGTGCTGGGGTATAAACAATATGGAGAAGAAACTGTAATGAAATCTAATTTATGATAATAATAGGATATAAAAATGTATTTTTTCTTCTTTTTACTGAAAAACATGTTGGCTATATTAAAGTGTTATTAACAGTTAAAATGTTGTTAGAATATGGGCATATTGTAAGAAAACAATTATTTACCAGTGACCGCTGAGATGTTTACTCCACTGCTTCGGACATTTTCAAACACAGTGAAGAGAGTGAAGTTGTATCTAGTCATACTGGTGAGATTTGAAACTGTTGTTAGATTTCCCTCTGATGCAGGGATGTGTATCTCAGATCCATCAAACACAAGTGTATAATTGAGCATGTCATTAACTTTGGTCCACTGCAGAGTGATGCTGGTCTCATTTTGTCCAACTACTGTTATCGCTTCTGTGTTAGGAGGGGCTAGGAAGTAAAGAAACACGAGAAAGGAACACATTTAGAGAAAAAAAAAAAGAAATGTCAGAATGTGACAAACTGAGTAAGAGAACAAAGTCTTTACCCCGATTTTATCAGACACTGTCACATATATTCAGAGAGAAACACCCTCTGTTACATGGAAACCCAGATTTGATATAACTGAGTTCTCACCAGGCTTTTGAAGGTTTTTTACAAAGTAAAACATCTTACCTGTGACTGCAGACACTCCTACTCCACTGCTTTGGACATTTTCAAACACTGCAAACAGACTGAACTGGTATTTAGTCCCACTTGTAAGACCAGAGATTGTGTATTGCTCTGAAACTAGTCCCTCAGCTGTAACGTTTATCTCCGTTTCATTATACTTAAGTTTATAATTGAGGATGTCATTAACTTTTTCCCACTGCAGAGTGATGCTGGTCTCGTTTTGTTGCACTGATTTGAAGTCCCCTGGGTTGGGAGGAGCTAGGGTGTCCAAAGAAATGGAGAAGAAACTGTTACAACAGCTTAAATTTGACTTAAGGAATGGTTATCTCTCGCTTAATGTTTTTCAAAAACACAAGTTGCATTCAAACTAATATATCAGCAACAGCAGCTAATAAAAACTGCATTTAATTCCAAGATTTTATAAGCATAAGCAAAAAAGCAAAGTACATCCACCTCTTACAAAGAAACTTGAATTCAACTTATATGTGTAAAGTGTGCTGTTTTAGCTCCAGTTATAAATATTCTCTTACCAGTGAATGCAATGATGTGTACTCCTCTGCTTTTGGTATTTTTAAACACAGTGAAGAGGGTGAAGTTGTATTCGGTCATAGTTGTAAGACCTGAGATTTTCCTTTTCACTGGGTTTTCATCTAACACGGTGAATGGTTCCTCATTTGAACCATACTTAATTAGATAGTCATTGTTTTCCACTTTCTCCCACTGTAGAGTTATACTCCTCTCAGTTTCCTCAATGGACTTGAAATTGTCTGCGTTACGAGGCCCTAGGATACAAATACAAGTTTGTTAGCCCTCCTGAATCTATACAATCATCTTGTCTCATTGGCCATTGAAAGTTGAATTCCACAAATATATATATAGAAAAGAATAGAAGAAGAAGAATACTTGAGTCACAATGTTTACAGTTGTAAACCAAAGGTTACTTACGGGTGAACGTTTCAACTGATTTTCCACTGCTGTTGAGTCCATCTGATATAGTGATGACAGTGAAATGATATACTGTCCCAGCTGTCAGATGAGAGACCTCCTTTACAACAGCTTGCTCTCCATTGGTTTGATTGATATATTTCTCCTTGGCACCGTCTTTGTCGTCATATTTTAGGAAATATGTCGGGATGTTGTTGACTTTGTTCCACATCAGAGTTATACTTGTCTCATCTTGAATCTTCACGGTAACTTCCTCTACGTCATCAGGGGCTGAAAAAATCAAGTTGAAAGTTTTTACAAGAGTAAAACAGTAAGAAGACTTCATTAACCATCGTTCTTCACAGTTATGGTGCTATGGTGTAATTCACAAACGTCTGCTTTATAACAAGCAAACAGACATGTCAACAAAGATAAGGGACAGCAGCTCAGACTTACGTTTAATTGTAGTTGAAATTGTTGTCGGTGTCGTGGCTGTTATCAGAGTTGGTGTTGTGTTGGAATCTGTGACACACTGAAAATAGAGATTCATAGTGTGAAAAAGCCAAAGTGTAACAGAGCAATCTATAAAGTTAAGAGAACTGCAATTTAATCTGAGCATCTTCATAAATATACTTTAATCTTATCAATATCATTTTGTATCTATCATACATTTAACAGCAGCCTGACACAGATGTTTAGAAAAACTCTTTTTACAAGTGTGTTACTCTATTTTTAAATCCAGACTGTATACAAGAGACCCTAATGCACATATTTCACAGAAATTGTTACATATTTGAATGGGTCTACCTCTAAATCCAGTGGGAAAAGATGACTACTGCTGAGAAAGAACAATTTCTCATTTGAATATTTCACAATCTGAAAAGGTTCTTCATTCTTAGGTTATGCAAGTCTTGTTTTTGTTTTTTTGTGCATACTTATATTTCAAATCTTGTAATTCCACAGTCTAATCTTCATTATGATGCATATCATGCTCTAAATCTTAACTGTGGTTTAGACTCTACAATTTCTTTTGTTGAGGGGAAACCGTCTCTTCACTAAACATTCACTACTTGGTCGCTATCAAAGCAGAAGGTTAAAAAAAAAAAAGCTTACCCAAAGCAGACACAGGAAGAAGCCCAGCAGCAACTTGTCTGAGATGATTTTGAAGAAAAACGGCTTCATCATTTTGAAGGTAAGCGAAGATTATTAACTTTTTCAATTTGTTTTTTTTGTCCCAAGATAAACTTCAAGTTTCTATTTTCAGTACTTTCACTGATGTGTTGACAAAATACAACAACACGTAAGTCTTGTAAAAAATGCCTTCATGCCTGGGCTGAAGCCGTCCAATATTAATTTTATTCCAAAGGTGTTGACTTTTAATTCTCAATCATGTCCTCCCTCTGTAATCTCTGCCCCGCCTATTACTTCCTTATTAACAGTCAAAGTGTCTCAGTTGAGCACTTTTACTGCTGATAATTGCTTTATATTGGCTGAATTTCTATCCTTCCCACTTTCAGGTTAATTGTTGACGAACTTTTCATGCATACAATTAAACCTTTTTAAAAACATGATTATTTTAATGATTTCTTTGTCAAATCACTGTCTTTTCTCTTCAGATGGGGGGGGGGGGCTCACAGCACCTTAGATTTGCTTTCTTTGCACTGTCATTGGGGGCAGAGATTAGGTTGACCAAGCAATTACACAAACACACACACACACACACACAATTTCAGAATAATGAAAACTTAAAACAAGATTAAATGAAAAAATCATATCTCGTGTCCCATTCGTGTAGTTATGAGAAATCTACGTATCTTTGTGTGTATGTGTGTTTATATACGTATTCTAAAGGAAAAAATATATATGTAGGTAACACAAATGTGCATCATAACATATACAATATATGATGTCCCTTTTGCAATAGCAATAAATCTTTAAACTTTAGTAAGTACATACATGAAACTAGATCAAGTAAATATGAGCAAACTTACTCTTTTCTGCATTAACCCACGAACATATAACTTGAATGTCCAGGCTGCTCCTCTTATGCTCTGCTCTGCAGCATGGAAACCACATGCTTTCTACGGTACGAGCTCATGAGGTCTGAGCAGGCTTGTTAACTCTAGTCAGGCTTTCTCACATTCGTACAATACAATGTTACACCCAAATGTTTTATTTACTTTTACATACTCTATTAATCCCCCTGTGTCATTGAGAGACATGCTTCTCACACAGATAGGACCGAATTAACTAAACTTAACTATATTGTTGTCTTTTGTGCAACTCATTTAAAAGCTAATGTCAAATCCTACATGCAAAGTTTGGTCTGAAATTTTAAATGACAAAAGTTTATGTTGTATATTTACTGTAAATGGATAGCACACTTAAGATTTTAATTTGTTTTCTTATCACCTCTTTAATGTGTAATATTAGAATGACTATCATGTGGGTGAAAAACACTCCTGAGGACAGAAGAATGTTTTAAAATTACATTCAGAAACAATGATCTCAACTTGTACAAGACATGAAATATTTTTTATTAGAAAAAAATAAAATAAATAAATAGTACAGACTTTATTGCACAGCATCAGCTGGTCTCAAACTGTCAAAGATTAGAACAGTTTTTGGTTCCAGTGTTTGTCCTTCAAGGGTCAACATTTACAACTTCTTTGCTTCCTGAAACAGAAAGCACACCTGCTACTCTCACAACCTCCTCAGCGATTTTTTACTTGGTGGGTTTCTGCTTCTAGAGACTTTGAGGAAGTTAGCAATGATGAGTTTCTGTCTGGCCTTTAATGCCTCAGGGTTGATATCTGGCTCTCCACGTTGCTTGCCGGGATGCAGGGGCTCGATTTGACTTAAGTTAAGTTCTGTTAACAGATATTCTGTTATTTATTGGAGTTCAGCACACAATCCGCAGCAAGCAGCTGTACATTTACACTTTTAAAACGGCGCCCGGAGAAGCTTCAGTTTTTGTAGAGACAGCGGAACTTATCGCTCCCCCTCCCTCTCTCTCTCTCTCTCTCTCTCTCTCTGTAGCTCTGAAGCTGATGTGATTCTGCTCTCTTTTGCTGTCTTAATACTCCGCAGGAGTCAAGAGGGATTTTTTTTTTAAAGGCAGTTTTGCTATGTTGAACACAGAGACTTATAATACAGAGGCTCTGATTGCACCGAGCCTGCGGAGCGCGCACCTTTACTTACTCTCTCTCTTTCTCTCTCCCCCGCTACATCTCTCTCTCTCTCTCTCTCTCTCTCTCTCTCTCTCTCTCTCTCTCAGCAATTTTATGAATAAATGAAAAATTAAATGAGAACAGGTCGGAAATGTACTTGGGCCCAGGTATCGTCTATTAGTGGGAAACACTGGAGACTAAATATTTCCAAACAGGTTGTTGGTATAAAGTTGTCATTTTTATTGTTCTGCACTTTTGTGTGTGCAAGTTCTAACACGAGCCCTTAGTAGGCCTACAGTGTGGCTGCCAGCAGTCAATAATAAATAATATTCTTTTTATGAATTAATTTGCTTCTTGCATGAAATGTGTGTTGAAATAGGCCTACAGTGTATTTTAACCATAATGGTGATACTGGCCAAATATTTTCAGAGGTGGTACGCAGTCTAAAAAGTTTGAGAACCACTGAATTAGAGAGTACTCAAAGCTTTACTATGTCGCCACCCAGTGGACAGGAATACCAACTACAAACTGAACGCTAAAAGAAATAAAATTAGAAACATCATTCCGTAATTGAACTGCAGGCCTATTTACATTGAAAATGTACTTTAGTTCTAAAGTAGTTTTGGAGAAATAAAAAGCACATACAATTGACACAACTTAAATAAAATAACGTAATTTCCTGTCAACATTTAAATTACAGCAGTATACTCACAGTTTGCAGATAATCGTGATGTTCATCAATATTTTTTCATTTTACTCTCAGCCAATTCCATATTGTCTAGCAGAATCATATAAATCACACAAACTGTACAGTATTGTCTTTATGTATTGTTACATGTTACAGTTTATAATGTTGCTAATATGCATCAATCGTTTTATTAAATTTGGTTGTAATGAAAGACATCCATAAAAATGTAACAGAAATCATTATTGCATAGGAGTTTAGTTTGATGTGTAGGCTCTGATGTAACCCGTTTTAAGAGCCGCGAACCGAACGTCCACTTCCTTCCGGTTCGTTGGGGTTAAGATAAGATAGATAAGAGCATGACAAAAAATAAAAAATATTTTATTTTTTATATTGTGGAGATTTCTTTGAGTACCACCACAGGGAGCCCACGTACCACCGGTGGTACGCGTACCATAGTTTGAGAAGCACTGCTCTAAATCATAAAGAAGAAGAGAGTGCGTCCATGCCTCTCGCTGTTGTTTATTTTCTTCTCAGTCATTCTGTAATCTCTGTGTTTTCTTGTATTTAACAAACTGCAGCAGTATAAGATATGTCCTTCGCTCTTCCAGTGTGGCTCGCGGTCCAGGAGGAGCTCCTCGGAAACGGCGGAGCGGACTTCGGGGCTCCGAGCTGTTTTGATGAGTTTGACGATGAAGCTTTGTTCCAGGAGTTCAACCTCAGCAGACCCTGCATCAGTTTCATCCTGGACGCTGCGCGCATCCGCATAAAGAAGTTGGCTCTGAAGAACCCAAGATCAGAGCCTCCCCTTATGAGACGGACACATTCAGGGGTTTTGTCAACACCTTGGGGTACACATCTGTGGTGAGCCAGATCATATGTGACTCTGACGGAAACATACTGAGTGTCGAAAAGTGTTGTGTAGGCAGCACGTTTGAGCAGGAGCTGTGGGAGTCGTCTTTCAAAGGGAGGGAAATGGAGGAGGAAATACACGGACCTTTTTGGGTTATTGGTAAGATATTAAACCATACACAAGAAAACATTTTTTACAAGTAACTTTTATAATTTATTCTGAGTAAGTCATATTACAACATAAAACACATACTATGCCCCTTACATCCTTTGAATAGAACCCTACATAACAGCTGTGCAGTTCTTCATATAAAGTATTTACAATGTCATCTGTGTTTCAGAGATTGCACATTTTTCTTCATTACATTCTAACAAACACTCACTTCTAGTTTGGTGATTGATGTTTCTCGTGTAGGTTCTGATTAAGTTTCTCAACTCGATGTAAAGACTTCATTACATTTTAAGGTTCATCATATATATTAGGGTTTTGTTGTCCAGATGTTAGATTAATTTCATTCTCTTTCTTGTCTTTCTTAAAGCAGGGAAAGGCTACAACTTAAGCAAACATGTCCTGACTCCTGTGGAAGAACCTGCAAATGACAGCGAGACCAGCTTCAACGAGGCCCACACAAAGATCCACGACGTCATGCGAACAACGCTCGGCTCCATGAAGAGGCGCTTCAGGTGTTTAAATCAACTCTGTTTTGCACAAGAAAACTCTTTGGCCAAAAAGTCCAATATTATCAAGGCGTGCAGTGTTCTGCACAACATCGCTAAAAAGTTCTCCGTGCCTCCACCATCTGACGCTGGTCAAATCGAGCCCCTCGAGGTTGTGAGTGTAGCAGGTGTGCTGTCTGTTGTACAAAGAAGTTGTAAATGTTGACCCTTGAAGGACAAACACTGGAACCAAAAAGTGTTCTAATCTTTGACAGTTTGAGACCAGCTGATGCTGTGCAATAAAGTCTGTACTATTTATTTATTTTATTTTTTTCTAATAAAAAATATTTCATGTCTTGTACAAGTTGAGATCATTGTTTCTGAATGTAATTTTAAAACATTCTTCTGTCCTCAGGAGTGTTTTTCACCCACATGATAGTCATTCTAATATTACACATTAAAGAGGTGACAAGAAAACAAATTCAAATCTTAAGTGTGCTATCCATTTACAGTAAATATACAACATAAACTTTTGTCATTTAAAATTTCAGACCAAACTTTGCATGTAGGATTTGACATTAGCTTTTAAATGAGTTGCACAAAAGACAACAATATAGTTAAGTGTTGCTACTTTTGTGAAACTGCAGGAGTGCAGTGGCATTGGCATACATCATGTACTCATTCTCATATATGTCCTCTGCAGTCCTCTCGTTTTGCTGCAGACTGTCCATGATGCACTGGTGCAAGAAAACATACTGGGACTGAAAAAAAGGGAACAACAACAGTTGGTCATTTTAGAAGCACAGCTTTTTGTGAAGGTGCTATAACCACAAAGTAATCTGCCTCTCTCCTTATGTGCTTTTTTTTTTTTTTTTTACCAGTGTTCAGTTGTTAACCACAATCCACTACATGCCTTTGTAGTGGAAAATTATGTAAATAAACATTAGTAAACTTTAGTAAAGTGTTGCCTTCATTATCTTGATTGAAAATGTACACAATAATGTTTGTGTAAGAATGGGGGAGGGGGTAAAGCTTATATGGGGCTAGGTTATAAATGTAACCTTGCCTGGGTTGCTAACAAAGGAAGTGGTATCTGAGCCTGAAACAACACAAATATATTTACCTCTGTTTGCACCATGTGTGGTCGACTCAGCCTCATCTTGTGCACGAAAGCGTTGATGCCAACGGCTCTCTCTTTCTCAAGCTGCTGAAGCATGACATCCAGGGCAATAATGGTGCCTGTCCTCCCTACTCCGGTACTGAAACAAAGACCAGGTGTGTTCATCATCAGGTAGTCCAGATGATACAAAGTAGATACTTAACTTCATGTCACTCACAACTTATATTCAAATTATGTTACAGAAGCTGTCAAATACAATAACAAATAGTTGTATTAAGATATTCAGATGAGTGGATTTTTAGCCATGAAAATAAACTCTCATTTTGTACCTGCAGTGGACCACAGTAGGTGCTCCAGTCCCTTCTCTCTCTATGTGCTGTCTCACCAGTCCTCTGAACCGGATCAGGACCTCTGTGCCCTGTGGAACATCATGATCAGGCCAGGCGGTGAAGTGAAAATGTTTCACTGTGCGTTCCTCTGAGCTGTTCTTCTGTCAAGGAGAATTGCATGGAGGAATTAAAGTACTGAAAGTCTACGTTGTGGACCAATACAACAACAATAGAATATATATCAAAATGGTCAAACTTCCTCCTCTAGAAGGTCAAATGTGCATCCAACCTATTAAGTTCCATCACAAATATTTCACCCATGTTCCGTACATGTTTTACTGTAAATTTCCTTAATATCCAGAAAAGCTCCTTCTGCTCATATCTGATGGTGACCACCAGCTCTCCATACATGTGAGGTTTGCTGTCTCCAGGCCAGTATTGTTCACACTTAGTCTAGGAAAAGGATGCATACAAAAACAAATAAGGGTCATGAAGTCGTTTTAAGGTTTATGCAACAAAAGACCGAAACAATTTGTGCACAGTTGCGCACATAAATTTGAACTATCTGAAAACACGTCAGCCACAAAAGCAGATCATTTACAGCCGCTCACGACATTTTAATTTCACCTAGAATAAAATTGGGTTTTAAGTTATTCTGAAAAATACCAGAGGACCCACCTTTCCGCTCTCTTTGCAGTTGGTTACCATGACAATACCTTTCACTCTCTGTTCCCAGATCATTCTCCAGAAATCATTGACTGTGGAGGGCAGAGGGCCCTGAGTGGCAATGTACTCTCTGCTGCTGTTGTAGCCCTGAGGAGGAAGTGTCGAAGCTAATTCTGTAAATTATTCAGTATACAATAATAAAAAATAAAAAAAATGTATTTTTATGCCTACAAATCACATGAAGTCTTCATACATTGATTGAATCCGACTGAAGGTGTACAGATGTTTTTTGCAACTTGTAGTACTTACAGGCATGTAATTGGCATTAATGTAGCCAGATGTTTCATTGGCATCTGATGAAGTGAGCTTCACCCGACACCAGTCGTCTAGGATGATGTAAAATAACAGAAGATGGTTTAAATGCAACAAACCACAACAAAGTCAAACACCCACAACAAGAATGAGTCAGTGGATCTGAATAATTTTACGAGTCTTGCTGGTGCTTGGCTTACATGGCAGGACGTTGTTGAAGCGATTCCTCGGTTTGTTGTCAAGAAGATTAGCTTCCTTACGTGTCTGCTCTGTACCAACAGGCATGAGGCTCTGCATGAAAGTTGGCATTATAAACAGGGAGTTTTACTGCCTTACCGAAAGAGTGAGAAGAAGAACCAGCAACAATAAGCTTCTTTTATATACCTCATATTCCTGGCTGAAACCTCTGTTGTCATCCACACTTAACTGGTAGAAGTGGTCTGGAAACTTTTCCACAGGAACAGTTCTGGAAGAAGCATGTGAAAAGTAGAATCTGTTTCACTTTGTGTACCTAATGGAAGGTAAGATAACTGACATACACAAATAATACATCAATCTTAAATACAACGTATTTCAACCTAGTAGTTCTCTCTGAAATTCGTTTTATACGAGACCTAATTCTCTCTTTTTTTTAGCCACATTAGAGGACAGTGACAGAGTTGTTAACATTAGGAGGAGATGATGACACACAAACTCACTTAGGCTTTTCATCCTTTTGTTTGGGACCACCAATGAATGTTTTGTTTCTCCTGTTGGAGGAAGAAATGATGCTCAGTAATACAGCCTGATTTAGTACAGTTCAGACAGAGATTCATTTTTCTATAGTCACTAAGGCAGAGCCAACCTGATAATATCTGGTCTTTTCAACAGAATGAATGCAGCCATACAGACCAGAACAGCAAAAAGTAGCACACCCATTACAGACCCTGCAATGACTCCTGCAAAGAGCAAAGTCGGGATTGAATAATTGTAACAGAAGTCAGACACAGCAGAGCAGCTTTTATAACATCAAAGTGATGTAGTCTTCATTTTCCAGTTAGGGTTAAACAAGAGTCATCCCAAAGAGCAAAATAACGAGAAAAACTTGAGAATGAAACAGTAAGAAGACTTCATTAACCATCGTTCTTCACAGTTATGGTGCTATGGTGTAATTCACAAACGTCTGCTTTATTACAAGCAAACAGACATGTCAACAAAGATAAGGGACAGCAGCTCAGACTTACGTTTAATTGTAGTTGAAATTGTTGTCGGTGTCGTGGCTGTTGTCGGTGTCGGGGCTGTTGTCGGTGTCATGGCTGTTGTCGGTGTCGGGGCTGTTGTCGGTGTCGGGGCTGTTGTCGGTGCCGGGGCTGTTGTCGGAGTCGTGGCTGTTGTCGGAGTCGGTGTCGTGGCTGTTGTCGGTGTCGGGGCTGTTGTCGGTGCCGGGGCTGTTGTCGGAGTCGTGGCTGTTGTCGGAGTCGGTGTCGTAGCTGTTGTCGGTGTCGGGGCTGTTGTCGGTGTCGTGGCTGTTGTCGGTGTCGGGGCTGTTGTTGGTGTCGTGGCTGTTGTCGGTGTCGGGGCTGTTGTCGGTGTCCGGGCTGTTGTCGGTGTCGGGGCTGTTGTCGGTGCCGGGGCTGTTGTCGGAGTCGTGGCTGTTGTCGGAGTCGGTGTCGTGGCTGTTGTCGGTGTTGGGGCTGTTGTCGGTGCCGGGGCTGTTGTCGGTGCCGGGGCTGTTGTCGGAGTCGTGGCTGTTGTCGGAGTCGGTGTCGTGGCTGTTGTCGGTGTCGGGGCTGTTGTCGGTGTCGGGGCTGTTGTCGGTGTCGGGGCTGTTGTCGGTGTCGGGGCTGTTGTCGGTGTCGGGGCTGTTGTCGGTGTCGGGGCTGTTGTCGGTGTCGTGGCTGTTGTCGGTGTCGGGGCTGCTGTCGGTGTCGGGGCTGTTGTCGGTGTCGGGGCTGTTGTCGGTGTCGGGGCTGTTGTCGGTGTCGGGGCTGTTGTCGGTGTCGGGGCTGTTGTCGGTGTCGGGGCTGCTGTCGGTGTCGGGGCTGTTGTCGGTGTCGGGGCTGTTGTCGGTGTCGTGGTTGTTGTCGGTGTCGGGGCTGTTGTCGGTGTCGGGGCTGTTGTCGGTGTCGTGGCTGTTGTCGGTGTCGGGGCTGCTGTCGGTGTCGGGGCTGCTGTCGGTGTCGTGGCTGTTGTCGGTGTCGTGGTTGTTGTCGGAGTCGGTGTCGTGGCTGTTGTCGGTGTCGGGGCTGCTGTCGGTGTCGGGGCTGCTGTCGGTGTCGGGGCTGTTGTCGGAGTCGGTGTCGTGGCTGTTGTCGGTGTCGTGGCTGTTGTCGGTGTCGGGGCTGTTGTCGGTGTCGTGGCTGTTGTCGGTGTCGGGGCTGCTGTCGGTGTCGGGGCTGCTGTCGGTGTCGGGGCTGTTGTCGGAGTCGGTGTCGTGGCTGTTGTCGGTGTCGGGGCTGTTGTCGGAGTCGGTGTCATGGCTGTTGTCGGTGTCGTGGCTGTTGTCGGAGTCGGTGTCGTGGCTGCTGTCGGAGTCGGTGTCGTGGCTGCTGTCGGAGTCGGTGTCGTGGCTGCTGTCGGTGTCCGGGCTGTTGTCGGAGTCGGTGTCGTGGCTGTTGTCGGAGTCGGTGTCGTGGCTGCTGTCGGTGTCCGGGCTGTTGTCGGAGTCGTGGCTGTTGTCGGAGTCGGTGTCGTGGCTGTTGTCGGTGTCGTGGCTGTTGTCGGAGTCGGTGTCGTGGCTGTTGTCGGTGTCGGGCTGTTGACGGTGTCCGGGCTGTTGTCAGTGTCGTGGCTGTTGTCGGTGTCGTGGCTGTTGTCGGTGTCGGGGCTATTGTCGGTGTCGTGGCTGTTGTCGGTGTCGGGGCTGTTGTCGGTGTCCGGGCTGTTGTCGGAGTCGGTGTCGTGGCTGTTGTCGGTGTCGTGGCTGTTGTCGGTGTCGGGGCTGCTGTCGGTGTTGTGGTTGTTGTCGGTGTCGGGGCTGTTGTCGGTGTCCGGGCTGTTGTCGGTGTCGGGGCTGTTGTCGGTGTCCGGGCTGTTGTCGGTGTCGTGGCTGTTGTCGGTGTCGGGGCTGTTGTCGGTGTCCGGGCTGTTGTCGGTGTCGGGGCTGTTGTCGGTGTCGGGGCTGTTGTCGGTGTCGGGGCTGTTATCAGAGTTGGTACTGGTGATGATGTCGGGGCTGTTATCAGAGTTGGTGCTGGTGATGATGTTGTGTTGGAATCTGTGACACACTGAAAATAGAGATTTATAGTGTGAAAAAGCCAAAGTGTAACAGAGCAATCTATAAAGTTAAGAGAACTGCAATTTAATCTGAGCATCTTCATAAATATACTTTAATCTTATCGATATCATTTTGTATCTATCATACATTTAACAGCAGCCTGACACAGATGTTTAGAAAAACTCTTTTTACAAGTGTGTTACTCTATTTTTTAAATCCAGACTGTATACAAGAGACCCTAATGCACATATTTCACAGAAATTGTTACATATTTGAATGGGTCTACCTCTAAATCCAGTGGGAAAAGATGACTACTGCTGAGAAAGAACAATTTCTCGTTTGAATATTTCACAATCTGAAAAGGTTCTTCATTCTTAGGTTATGCAAGTCTTGGTTTTTTTTGTGCATACTTATATTTCAGATCTTGTAATTCCACAGTCTAATCTTCATTATGATGCATATCATGCTTTAAATCTTAACTGTGGTTTAGACTCTACAGTTTCTTTTGTTGAGGGTAACCGTCTCTTCACTAAACATTCACTACTTGATCGCTATCAAAGCAGAAGGTTAAAAAAAAAAAGCTTACCCAAAGCAGACACAGGAAGAAGCCCAGCAGCAACTTGTCTGAGATGATTTTGAAGAAAAACAGCTTCATCATTTTGAAGGTAAGCGAAGATTATTAACTTTTTCAATTTGTTTTTTTGTCCCAAGATAAACTTCAAGTTTCTATTTTCAGTACTTTCACTGATGTGTTGACAAAATACAACAACACGTAAGTCTTGTAAAAAATGCCTTCATGCCTGGGCTGAAGCCGTCCAATATTAATTTTATTCCAAAGGTGTTGACTTTTAATTCTCAACCATGTCCTCCCTCTGTAATCTCTGCCCCGCCTGTTACTTCCTTATTAACGGTCAAAGTGTCTCAGTTGAGCATTTTTATTGCTGATAATTACTTTATATTGGCTGAATTTCTATCCCTACTACTTTCAGGTTAATTGTTGACGGGCTTTTCATGCATACAATTCAACCTTTTTAAAAACATGATTATTTTAATGATCTTTGTCAAATCACTGTCTTTTCTCTTCAGATGGGGGGGGGGGGGGCTCACAGCACCTTAGATTTGCTTTCTTTGCACTGTCATCAGGGGCAGAGATTAGGTTGACTAAGCAATTAAAAATGTCGATAACGTTTCTTGTTACTTGTAGCTCCAGCCTTGTGTGCTCGTAGCACAATAAAGCAATATGTAATGGGCTTTTTGGCATATTTGAATTCACGACTGCATGAGAAAAAATATTTGATAAGACTTTGGTGTTAGTGAAATCTTGGTCAGAAAAAAAAATACTTTGGAGTTAAAATAGATTACAAGTATTAACAAAATGACCACACCCACACACACACACACACACATGCACACGAGAATAATGAAAACTTAAAAGAAGATTAAATGAAAAAATCATATCTCGTGTCCCATTCGTGTAGTTATGAGAATCTACGTATCTTTGTGTGTATGTGTGTTTATATACGTGTTCTAAAGGAAAAAATATATATGTAGGTAACACAAATGTGCATCATAACATATACAATATATGATGTCCCTTTTGCAATAGCAATAAATCTTAAAACTTTAGTAAGTACATACATGAAACTAGATCAAGTAAATATGAGCAAACTTACTCTTTTCTGCATTAACCCACGAACATATAACTTGAATGTCCAGGCTGCTCCTCTTATGCTCTGCTCTGCAGCATGGAAACCACATGCTTTCTACGGTACGAGCTCATGAGGTCTGAGCAGGCTTGTTAACTCTAGTCAGGCTTTCTCACAGTAGCACAATACAATGTTACACCCAAATGTTTTATTTACTTTTACATACTCTATTAATCCTCCTGTGTCATTGAGAGACATGCTTCTCACACAGATAGGACCGAATTACACACATGCACAAACAGGTTCTATATGGCCATGCATTAATTGAGAGATGTCAGAGTTGGGCTAATACACAGAGAGCGTGCCAGAGCTATTGGGAGGGTTGATGCTATGCTCAGAGGCACATTGGCAGTACTAAGGAAGTGACATGGCACCTCTCCAAATTCCAAGCTTTGGTTTGCAGGGACTTAATAAAGAGCAATCGATCAATGTGAACACTTGTGTACCGATTTGTAGTTGTGGAAATGCTGTTTTTTTTTCCAGGTACAGGCAGATCCCAGTCTCTTCTCCTCCAGTGGTTCAAAATGTAGTACTGTTGTTGCTGATACAACGGTTATCCTGTTTTGATCATAGTTATCAAACCATCCTGCTGCTTTTTCACTTTGGTCATCTCAGTAAGTTCCTCTCGTCTCTGACCCGTATCAGAAAGAAGGTTCAACAAATTCTCAGGCTGTTTTTGTCTACTACAGTACTTGCGTACTGATTTCTCTGGCCAAGAATTCAGTAGATCATCAGACCATTTTTCTCACTGACTGTTTCCCACAATGCAAAGCGCCAGGTCAAAGATTGAAAAGACGGAGAGCAACGGCTATCTTATAGAAAATACACAAAGCAGACAATTTAACCAGATATCGCAATCTCTCCTGCTCTGTATACCTATCGAAATAATTAATTTAACTGATTCTATAGGATTCTGTTAAAGATGACTGATGAGTCAAAAACTTGGCATTTCAGAAACTGATGTGGACGCCACTGATGTTTGCCTGGATGCACAGTTTCTGGTGGTCTGCGAAAAAAATTGAAAATCTTCATTTGTCCCTGTGATGGCCAGAGCCACACAGGGGTAATATCACTCACCTCATTAGTTGTTCACCAGCACATGTTTATTTAGCAGTCAAAAATACAAACAGCTTACACACTTAAGTTGCTTTATTATAACCCCTATATCTCATTGTGATTGGTCTGTTTTTTTAATTCATACCTTAGTTTTCATCTTGTTGATTTAAAGTTATATTAAGTTGACCTCTTTTATAGGCCTAGTTCTGATAATTTGGTTTGTAAACTCGGTTTTCTATTTTTTGGTAAAATAGAAACCCACCTTTTCTTTAAACTTACTCCTGTCTCTTGTGCCTTACTGTTTGGTCCCTAACAATTGGTGGCAGTGGTGGGATCATTCAGTGAAAAACAAAGGATTTTTTTTGTTTTCTACCCTGTTCCCCCTGAAAAAAGGACAAATGCATCATGGCGGGAAAGTGAATACCCAGGAAAGGCAAGCCAGCGATGAAGAGGAAGACAGTGGCACTTCTGGGGTGGTAGGAAGCACTGAGGGTGAAGGTAAGGAGCCAACTCTGTCAGACCTGATGTCCATTCTCCAGGCCCACATGGGTCAGTAAGAGGCCCGGGAGGCTAAGCATAATGAGCTAACTGCAAGGCAGTGCTTTAACATCAGTTTCAGCTTCTGCACTTAGAAGTTCAGGCCAGAACAACTCCAGTACCTGATCCTCAGTTTCCAGACTCTGACCCATCAAATGTGGAGGCTCCATTGACTACCATGCACTATCCTTCCACCCAAGCTGAGGCCCCTGCAGGTCCTTTTCACTCACACTATGAGCCCAGGTTGGATAAATTGTCTGATAACGACTACTTTGAATACTTCCTCGTCACATTTGAACGTATTGCTGTAGCATGCCGATGGCAGAGAGCTGATTGGGTTTTTCATTTAACGCCACTCCTTACGGGCAAGGCTAGAGGTGCTTATGTGCATATGAAATTGATGACTCTCTTAATTATGAAAGGGTAAAGTCTGCCATTCTTGCTAAAAATGACATTAACCCCGAGACTTACAGGCAAAGATTCCGCTCCCTGGACGTCAACCCTGATGAGAGCCTTGATGATTTGTTTGTGAGGCTCAAGGAGCTCTTTGGGAAATGGATCCAGCCAAAAGACTAAAGCATCCGGGCAGTATGTGAAATGACCAGCCAGCTAGCAGGCCAACAAAACCCTCTAGCAAAGAGCTAATTTGTTATCTATGTGGACTTGGAAGGCCATTGTTACGCCGCCACACAAACCCACAGCCAAATGCTATCCTTGAGCCTGACTCTAAGGCCAGTGAGCCCGTAACTTAATGCCTCTCCTTACGTGTTGCGTAAATGTGAAGGTGTATCCTGCCTTACCTGAATGTGTGTGCAACTGTCCTGTCTGTTTGAGGGGTGCATGTAGGTGACTCACTGCCAAGCTCACTCGGACAGCCAGATCCACGTATTCACTTGGGTACGAGCTCCTCCGCCAGCCCTCTCTTTCATATCAGTTTAGTTCATGTGCCTCGTGGAGTCTCTTCGACTCAAAACCAATTTCCGCTGGCTCCTCCGCAGGTGCTGCTAATGAAGGTTACAGAGACAGAGCCACCACACCCCCCCCCTCAGGTGTGTCATCAGTACTGACCCTGCTTCTCCTCCTACCAACCACACCTACCACTAAAGACACTGAAGTGAATCCCCCTAACGCATCATCATAACATCCCTCCCCCCCATAAAAAAAAAAAAAAAAACACTACTAAATTGTGACATCAACCATTTTTTCTTCATATTTTCTCCCATGTTTTGTTTTTCCACAAAGACTTGCAACTCGACTTGGACTTTAACACCAATGAATCGTGACTCCACTTGGACTTGAGTTAATGACTCAAAAAACTTGAGTGTTATTTAAGGGACTTATTATTTCCGCGATGTGCAAAACATGAATGGAATCACAGAGTTTGACATTGAAAATATGATCAACTGTGCACAAAATATCGTGGGATTTACCTCATCATGGTTGTGATTTTAAAAAATATATTTTTTTAAGAATAGGCTAAATAAAATAATTCAGTGAATGGTGTAAACAGATTTTTACTCTGTTAAAATGTTGTTTCGTTTGGGGAAGAGAGCTAATGACTTGTTTAGGACTCGAAATTTAAAGTTAAGGACTTTTGACTCGACTTGGGACTTGCCTGTCATTACTTGGGACTTGACTCGGGACTTGAAACTTAAGACTTACTTGTGACTTGCAAAGCAATTACTTTGTCCCACCTCTGCTGTATACTATTGGATAGACTTGAGAATTACTTTGGCATCTCAGGACAAGTTCTAGAGTGGTTAAAGTCCTACCTATCAGAAAGATTTCAATGTGTTTTTTATGACAACATAACGGCACGGGGTTTCACAGGGGTCTGTTCTGGGTCCATTGCTGTTTTCTATCTACCTATCCCCATTGGGTCAGATATTGCATTCTTGCCATAAAAAATAACAACACCTAAATAGTACAGACTTTATTGCACAGCATCAGCTGGTCTCAAACTGTCAAAGATTAGAACAGTTTTTGGTTCCAGTGTTTGTCCTTCAAGGGTCAACATTTACAACTTCTTTGCTTCCTGAAACAGACAGCACACCTGCTACACTCACAACCTCCTCAGCGATTCCTTTACTTGGTGGGTTTCTGGTACTAGAGACTTTGAGGAAGTTAGCAACGATGAGTTTCTGTCTGGCCTTTAATGCCTCAGGGTTGATATCTGGCTCTGCACGTTGCTTGCCAGGATGCAGGGGCTCGATTTGACCAGCGTCAGATGGTGGAGGCACGGAAAACTTTTTAGCGATGTTGTGCAGGACACTGCACGCCTTGATAATATTGGACTTTTTGGCCAAAGAGTTTTCTTGTGCAAAACCAAGTTGATTTAAACACCTAAAGCGCCTCTTCATGGAGCCGAGCGTTGTTCGCATGACGTCGTGGATCTTTGTGTGGGCCTCGTTGAAGCTGGTCTCGCTGTCATTTGCAGGTTCTGCCACAGGAGTCAGGACATGTTTGCTTAAGTTGTAGCCTTTCCCTGCTTTAAGAAAGACAAGAAAGAGAATGAAATTAATCTAACATCTGGACAACAAAACCCTAATATATATGATGAACCTTAAAATGTAATGAAGAAAAATGTGCAATCTCTGAAACACAGATGACATTGTAAATACTGTATATTAAGAACTGCACAGCTGTTGTGTAGGGTTCTATTCAAAGGATGTAAGGGGCATAGTATGTGTTTTATGTTGTAATATGACTTACTCAGAATAAATTATAAAAGTTACTTGTAAAAAATGTTTTCTCATGTATGGTTTAATATCTTACCAATAACCCAAAAAGGTCCGTGTATTTCCTCCTCCATTTCCCTCCCTTTGAAAGACGACTCCCACAGCTCCTGCTCAAACGTGCTGCCTACACAACACTTTTCGACACTCAGTATGTTTCCGTCAGAGTCACATATGATCTGGCTCACCACAGATGTGTACCCCAAGGTGTTGACAAAACCCCTGAATGTGTCCGTCTCATAAGGGGAGGCTCTGATCTTGAAGTGAGCCGCGCCAAGGACGCCCAGCACATTGGGGATCCTACATAATTTCTCTGTCTTGAACGCGACCTTCTTTTTGGCCTCATGGGTTAGTGGGAAAGAGATGAACTGGTCGGACATGCCTGCGATGACTCCGGATACAGTGCTCATGATCGCGAGACAGTCCGTCTGACACTGTCCGACCCTCTGCAGGACACAGGGTGAGGAGACTCCGTGTGCGTAATAGTTCAACGCCACCATAACCATCTCGTCCACGGACAGCGTTGGGTTCTTCAGAGCCAACGTTTTCATGCGGATGCGCGCAGCATCCAGGATGAAACTGATGCAGGGTCTGCTGAGGTTGAACACCTGGAACAAAGCTTCATCATCAAACTCATCAAAACAGCTCGGAGCCCCGAAGTCCGCTCCGCCGTTTCCGAGGAGCTCCTCCTGGACCGCGAGCCACACTGGAAGAGCGAAGGACATATCTTATACTGCTGCAGTTTGTTAAATACAAGAAAACACAGAGATTACAGAATGACTGAGAAGAAAATAAACAACAGCGAGAGGCATGGACGCACTCTCTTCTTCTTTATGATTTAGAGAGTACTCAAAGCTTTACTATATCGCCACCCAGTGGACAGGATTACCAACTACAAACTGAACGCTAAAAGAAATAAAATTAGAAACATCATTCCGTAATTGAACTTGTAATTGAAAATGTACTTTAGTTGGATAGAATTTTTGGAGAAATAAAAAGCACATACAATTGACTCAACTTAAATAAAATAACGTAATTTCCTGTCAACATTTAAATTACAGCAGTATACTCAGTTTGCAGATAATCGTGATGTTCATTAATATTTTTTCATTTTACTCTCAGCCAATTCCATATCGTCTAGCCTTATCCTATCAAACTCTTCCTGCCTCATAATCGTCAACCAGCCTTTTGGTTATTTGACTTAATGATTTAAAATATTGTTATAGCAGCCACCTTCAAAAAAATAAATAAATATTCATTTACAGTTCCATCCATATCTCTCCTGTCATTTTGGATATTTTAAGCACAGAAGTCTTACAGAGGATAGGAAATGCTAATTATAAAAAAACAAGTCATTATTGTAGGAAACCATGGTCTCTGTAAACCAAAATCTGTTAAATGACCTCTCGAGGAATTTAAGTTGGAAGAAACAAAACAGATTCTTAACAAGGTGATTTAAGAAATACATTTACTGTGTTACTGTGTTGCAGGTTAAACACATCAAATACATCCATATTACTGAGAATTGTCAAATATACAACATTACAGTAAAATAAAACGGGCAGACACAACAAATTCAACAGATGTTTAATATAAAAATATAGATTGTTTATTTCATAAGAAAGCCTGAAAAAATAAAAGTGTGTAATGTAGTGAGTATACAGTCTTCATATGCTACATTTCTTAGACGATGCACATCATTTAGCTCATTACAAATCTGTTAAGCATCAGATCATGGTCTAGGAGAAATAAATAAATCAAACACTCATAAAAGAAAAGGTTAAAAAAAAAAAAAAAAAAAAAAAAGACCTCATCAGTTGAACCAATAGTCAGCTTCTGTTTGTTACAGCCTGGGTGATAAATAAAACATTTGGTTGACTTCGCTAAGGGAAACATCTTTAATAGGTGGTATTCCCCCCTTCCGACAGTCATCATTCCTCTGTCCTCGAGCGTACACATCTGTGGAAAAAGAAAAAACATTGAAGGGTGTTAGGGTCAGGAAGATATAAACTATACAAATCAATCAACTCCAATCATCATTAAAGTGCCTTCTCATGTAGGCACACATGATGTGTCAGTTTGACTTCACAGTAAGGCACTGTAGTATGTACACAGGTGTGTAGTCTATGGCAACATCCTGACCTGTAATGTTGTCTATAGAGTCGAGTGGAGCTGTGTTGTTCATGTTCACTCCAAACAGCAACACAAAACAGATCATCAATGCAACCAACAGATAGATCGGCACAGCAAGGGCCCAATATCTACACCAGAGGAAAAGTTCAGTTAAGCATATCAGAAACGTTCAGGAATGTATGCGCCACGCCTTTTCATTGAACAGTCAAGTACAGGAGCGTGTCATTAGATAACCCTCTTTTATCAACCATCTTATCCTGATTACTTTCAGCTTACTTTTGAGGCCAGTAAGTGAGACCTACAGAATGAAGCCACTCTTCTGGTACGAATGCCCACAGGCAGTACAGAACTGTGGAGACAAGGAGATGTCATGTTAACGGGCATCTTTTGCTTAAATATCAGCTACACAGTTTGATACCAGGAAAACAAATGATAACACACACACACACACACTAGCCACACTCAGTAGACTAGCCTATTAGACTATTATACTATTTATTACCCCCTTAAATATATAGTGATCAGTCGAAGAGGCAAAATAAATCAAAACACTTTTAAAATCACTTTTATCGTACACTTTAACTTCTTTGGATTATTGAGCAGCAAGTATGTCAATGTGTGTGTGTGTGTGTGTGTGTGTGTGTGTGTGGGGGGGGGGGGGGGGGGGACATTATAGTTTCCCAGAGTAATGTAATGACCTCAGGAATCAGAATTGGTTTTAATTGTTTACAGCATCTGTACACATGTGGAAGTATAACGTGGACTGAAATATTATTAGGAAAAGTTAAATTGCAGCTGTAATTGTAATCCTGGAAAAGTGAAAATACAGATGTGACTCACAGAAGCCAAACTGTGAGCCGAGGAAGAGAACAAACCCGGAAATGGCCCTCTCAGGCAGGGGAGAGGGAGTGTTTTCCACCATGACCTGAAAGCACAACAAACAAAACAACAACAGAGATAAAGGTACAGTGTAGAGGTAACACACTTCCATTATACAGAGAGTCCGACATACAATTACCTCGAGCTACGTACCTTTAAATCTGTATTAGTTTGATAAATTGAACAGCTCCTGGTTTTTAAGCCACTCAATAATCTCTTTCAGATATTTGCCTCCCACCCGACCGCACTGCTACTTTTTTTTAACAAAGATGTCCTTTAAACATGCGACGCTATAAATTCAACACAAATGTATCCGAGAGACTGAGACTAAAAGATTACGTTTAAAAAAAAAAAAATCAGGTGAATTTCTAACAAAAAACACTTCCGATCTTTCCCACAGCAGCAGGTGACACTCTAGTCCTACATGAAATGCGCTCCCGTGTGCAATGTCTCCCAGAAAGTAGTTCCGCATTTGGATTAAGAAGCAAAACACTCGGTGGAATATTGTGTTTACAGCACATTAATGCGTGATGTCAACTTTTGTATGTATGAAAACAAAATGACATAATAAAACAGTCCGGCGGCTTGCTTCGCGTCTGACTTGAGTGAACACGTGTACGTAACGGATGTTGTGATGTATGTTTTCTGTCGGACACATTCGGCTGCTGCACATCTCGGAAATACACATTTCAGCATGGCTTCGCAGCACCCGAGCTGTACCGTGGAGCATTTTCTTTCAGTAGTTTAGAGAGACATGCGAGCAAATAACTTAGCTGGTGCGCCCATTCGGTGAACTTACTCCGGGGAGACATTTCCAGGTGAGACCGTTTTGTACTGTTACGTTGTGACGTCACCTTGCAGCCCTGAGACGGAGTTCAGCCGATCCAGCGTGGCTGAGGACTCACACTGTGAACAGGTAGCGAAAGGTGTTTCTAAAAAAGAAAAGAAATGTCAACGATGAAGACGAAGAAAACACACTCTCCTGCTAAAACGCAACAAACCACATCCACAGCGAAAATAAAAAAGAAAAACTGGATAAAAGAAAAGTTTAAAAAGAGAAAACCTCCACCCAAGAGTCAAGAAAAAGCGAAACCCCAGCAAATATCACCTCCAGGAGATGCACAACAGTTCTCTGCCAACTGGAAGGCATTGCAGGAGGTTTGTCAACTAATTCATTTTCTCTCTAGCTTGATAACAAGTTTACTTTTTTTTTTTTAAATGTCTTTATATAAGATTCAGTCATATCCAGCAGATCCTGAGGATTGTTTACAACTGTGCTTACCTTTTCCACAGATTTTGAAGGCGTCCGAACCAGAGAAGAAGCAGCCTGTGACACCAAAACAGAACGGTGCCCTGCAAAATAATAAGCAGGCCAAACATAATTTCTCTAAAAGTGCGTCAAAGAACAATGTCCCTCCCAGGCAGACAGACACACAGAAAACAGTGACGCACAAATCTGTTCCTAACAATGCTGTCTCCAAGGATACTGCGGTGACCTCAAAGGTTCCTGCTATTTCAGAGACAGGACGGTCTGCTGCTCCAAAAAGGAAAAAGGACAGTGGGAAGTCAAACAGTGCGCCAGCAGCCAAGAAGAAGAAATCTGTGGTTGAAGAGACTAAACCCACAGAGTGAGTATACTGCACGACTTACTGCGGATATTAAGCTCAAGGAGAATTGTGGATGCTATTTGATATTTGTCCTGTGCTGTTTGTAGAGAGGACCTTTGGTTCGATGATGTCGACCCAGACGACATAGAGGCGACAGTGGGAGCAGAGGCAGCGGAGATCATGAGGAGGAAACAGGGAATTCAGAAGAGCAGGGACACAGAGAGTGCCCTGGTCAAGGAGAAAGCCTTTGAGGGGTGAGTGAAGGCAACAGAAGTGTCCTTTTTTTTTTTTTAACTCCACTAATCGGCTTCAAGAAGTTCATACTGATTCATGTGTAATGACAGATTAAGAGGTACTTTAATGTAACACAGATATGTTTATTTAATACTTTCCCCGATAGTCATGCATCTGTGATAATTAAGCTGTTAACTGATTATTCCAACACAACTTGAATGCAGCATTTGCTGTGGTTTAGACAGCATTAGGTGTTGAGTGAAAGATGCTCCATGCTTTTGATTTTAAAGGACTCACCTGCTGTTTTTTTTAATTATTTTTCCACCGTAGCACTGTAAACACTGTCTGTTAAATAGAAGGAGACCTTAGAAACTGGAAACACAGCATAACAGCGAGCATTGCTTTCCCCTAAAGGTTACATCATCTGCATATCAGCAACTCTAAAGCTATTATTACTATTAGGAACTCCAGGAAGTCAATAGTCACTAGATCAAGTCTTTTTAGCTAAGCTAACCGGCTAGTTAATGTATCCCTTTATTTTATTGGCAGATGTGGGAATGGCAAAAGCATTTTGTTATAACTTAGAACATCTGCTTTTTCCATTACAACAAAGCTAATGCATTAATAATAATGCTAAAAAATAATAAAATATATTTGTCTTTTTTTGACAGTGATCTTTTTGTCTTTTTCTTTCTGTCGATGAAGCGTGTGAATACAAATCTGACCATGCAGCTGCTTTGAATGCATGAATGTTTCACAGCTGTAACTCTGCTGGCAGTTTGACGTTTTAGTTGACCGTCCTCATTTTTAACCCTTTCCGCCACTCGCCAGCCTCACCCGAGCTGTGGCCATCGATTGTGAGATGGTGGGAGTCGGCCTTGACGGAGAGGACAGCATCTTGGCCCGTGTGTCCCTCGTGAACCAGTTTGGAAAATGCATCTATGACAAATTTGTGAAACCCACAGAGAAGGTGACGGACTACAGGAC